CCTACCAACATAAGTGTTGTATCGGGCAGCACACGGTTTCATCGGTTATTAGCAGAATTCCCTGACATTTTAAACCCATCCAAATCAGGGCAGCATACTCATCAGCCAGAAGTGTATCATCACATTGAAACACATGGCCCACCTGTATTTTCCAAGCCTCGTCGTCTTTCTCCAGAGATGCTAAAAGCTGCTCGCAAAGAATTTGAATTCATGCTAGCACAGGGAACCATTCGCCCATCTAAAAGTCCATGGGCCAGTCCACTTCACATGGTTAAAAAGTCTAATGGTGACTGGCGGCCTTGTGGAGATTATCGTCGACTTAATGCCGTCACAGTCCCTGACAGATATCCAGTCCCACATATCCAAGACTGTACCCAACTCTTTTTCATGGAACAAACATATTTTCTACCCTCGATCTTGCCAGAGCATATCATCAGATCCCAGTGCATGCTGAAGATGTGCCCAAGACCGCAGTGACTACACCATTTGGTCTCTTTGAGTACTTATATATGCCATTTGGCCTTCGCAATGCTGGCCAAACATTTCAGCGTTTCATACACCAAGTACTGTCTGGTCTCGATTTCTGCATCCCATATTTTGATGATATCCTGGTTGCATCTACAGATGCGGAAGAACATTTTAAAACATCTGCGTCAGATTTTCACTCACTCGCCTTAAAGATCATGGATTAAAACTAAATCCATCCAAATGTGTACTTGGTCAACCCTCAGTTTCCTTTCTTGGATGTCTTATCACCCAGAATGGAGTTAAACCTTTACCGGAAAGAGTCAAAGCAATTAACGACCTACCTCAGCCCAAAACCATCTCTGAACTGAAGCGTTTTCTAGCAATGTTTTCTACCGGCGCTTCCTGCCAATTTCTACCGACGCTTTCTGCCAAATGCCGCAAAAACACAAGCCTGCCTACATGAGTTTCTGAAGAATAGCAAAAAAAAAAAAAAAAAAAAAAGAAATGATCAACGAGCTGTCCCTTGGACTGAATCTGCATCTGCAGCATTCGTGCAATGCAAACACGATCTGGCAAATGGCCCACACTTTCTTATCACTCACCTAGTGATCAGCTCTCTATAATGGTAGATGCATCTGACACGGCCATAGGAGCAGTGCTTCAAGCCCATACCACTAAAGGACTTTCCCCAATGGCATTCTTTTCCAGAAAACTTACTACTGCAGAAAGGAAATACAGCACATATGACAGAGGAGCTACTTGCTGTGTACTGTGCTGTTAAATACTTCCGGCACAACTTGGAAGGACACGACTTCATCATTTTCACCGATCATCGACCATTAACCTTCGCTTTTAGAAAAAAACTCTGACTCATGTTCTCCTCGTCAGCTTCGACATCTGGATTTCATCGCCCAGTTTAGTACAGATATCAGATATGTCTCTGGTACTGATAATTGTGTCGCTGATGCCTTGTCTCGGGTAAACAATATCAACCTCACTACCCCAGATTTCTCTGAAATTGCAAAAGCTCAATTGCATGATGAGGAACTCAAGAACCTAATCTCAAATCCACAAACCTCCCTTCAGTTACAACCGCTGCACATTGATCCAACGCTTAAAATTTACTGTGACATAGAGAACAATAGAATACGTCCCTATATTCCTGTCAATTTTAGACGTGAAGTGTTTAATGCCTTGCACAATTTGGCACATCCTGGAATCCGTGCCACCAAAAGCTGATCGCAGACAGATTTGTCTGGCCAGCGAATGAATCAAGACATCACAGAATGGACTCGTTCATGTATTAGATGTCAACGGTGTAAAGTATCCCGTCACACTCACAGCCCCATTCAACAATTTAACCCTCCAGCAAGACGCTTTGATCATGTGCACTTAGATTTGGTTGGCCCATTGCCTCCTTCAAATGGTTACACTTACCTCCTCACTTGTATTGATCGGTACACAAGATGGCCTGAAGCCATTCCTATTGAAAATATATCCGCTGAAACTGTAGCTCGAGCATTCATCTCCCAGTGGCTTTCAAGATTTGGCATGCCTACCACCATCACTACTGACCAAGGCCGACAATTTCAATGTCACTTGTTCACATCCCTCACCTCTCTTCTTGGCATTCGCCATATTCGCACAACACCATACCATCCATCTGGAAATGGGATGGTGGAACGCTTTCACCGATCTCTCAAACAAGGTCTGAAGTGCCACAGTAGCACACACTGGACAGAAGCCTTACCCCTAGTCTTGCTTGGTCTTCGCACAGCATTCAAAGAAGACATTGGTAGCACTTGTGCTGAAATGTTATATGGTGCAACCCTCTGTCTGCCAGGTGAATTCTTTCACCCAGAATCTACTCCAGTTATCGACCCTCCAACATTCCTTCAACGTTTACGTGAGACCATGAGCAATATCTCGCCAACCCCAGCATCTTCGCATAACCAGCCAAGCTATTTTGTACATCCTGCGCTTGAGACATCTTCGCACGTATTCGTGCGCAACGATGCAAATCAAGCCAACTTTAACACCTTCATATGATGGTCCATTCAAAGTTGTCAAACGAACACCGAAACATTTCACCATCATCTGCAATGGCAAACAATCAGTGATTGGAATCGATCGTCTCAAACCAGCATTTCTAATGCAAGATCCAACAACTTCCTCATCAACATCACTCCCGGAAGAAAGCTTACATCCCGTTAAAGAGCAACCTAAAACTACCAGATCTGGAAGAAAGGTTAAATTTAACCCAAAGTACTTATAACGTACCGATGGTACTTGTGGGGGAGTACTGTGGCGTTCCGACAGATACTTCAACTTCTATTCATGAGATGGCGCCACGTGTAAAATCCAGTTCTTAATCGGAGCAGCAAAGCGACATCTTTACTCACTCAGACTTCTCGTCACACAACGGTACGCGAAGGTAGCATGAACTGTGTTCCGAGCTCTGTGTTGATCTCTGCAATGTAATTTAAATTGTAATTTAGTACTTAATATATTTTTTTGTTATAGGAGATTGTCTACTCTTATTTTCTTTAATTATATCATGCATTAAGCACACACGACCACCAAATAAATATCATGCCAAGTTATATCTGTCCTGTCTGGGTATATTTATACAGAATTAATCGAAAAAGACTTGAATTGTGTTCAATGACAGATTGTAAGTTCTCCGCCGTATCTAAGAATTAACAGTATTCATTAAGAGTTAAATATTATCCCGTACCTTTTATTATTGGAAAGTTGAAGATGGAAAGGATGTCAGCAATTTCGCTTAACAGTCTCCAAATGGTATGTTGACCTCACACCTATGTTTTGTGCAACAGATTTTGTTCTTGACTCGAGTCTATTAATCAGAGTGTTTAAAACGCTTTCTTTAAATCTTGGATCGAGTATAATTCGTCTTCGACCACCATTTGCTCTAGTGACATGGAAAGAACCCGTTTCACATGACGATATAACCGCTGAAATATTCTGTGATCCGGCATTCGCCTATCTGCGCATGATACATTCCTAGGAAACTGCGCATGATACATTCCTAGCGCAGCTGTGGCGTTACCGTTTGCACGACTGTATGTGTAATGCATGTCGGCTTTTTCTGCATAAGTAGTCTTCCAACATGTCCGCCCAGACAGTATTAGTGGTTAGGGCAGTCGACTGCGATACCGAAAGGCCTGGGCTCGAATACCGGCTGTAATGGCTGTAACTGTCCGTCCCTTCATAAAAGGCAAATTTGACCCACCTATTTAGTGCTTCCATAATAAAGTGACCACCACTTCTGGTTTTAGCAGCGGCCAAGCCAAAGTCGGCTCAGAGCCCGCCATTAGTTAAAAAAAGAAAAAGGTCTCCCAGCACAAACCACAGCACAATTGCGAATGGCATCTTTCCCTACTGAGATGCACACCTACTGCCCTCTACCAGAAAGGTCATTTTTATGCAAATGTGTTTCGGAACTTGAAGCAAGTTCGCTTTAAATGAGGAAAGTTTTTGTGTGCGCTGTTCTTCACGTGAAGGAATTCATACGATATGTTATACGATCGTAATCTCATTTTAAAGTTTTCTTATTGTAAATGAATTTGAAGTTCTATTTATGACTAACTAAATGAATTGCGACCTGGGGAGTATCCTATGTGAATATTATTCGCATCCTTGTTCTATACTTCCCATCCAAGTTTGTACCATGAACTTGGATATATATATATATATATATATATAATATAAAGAAATTTCCCTTGAAAAGCCAAAATGAGCTTCGAATTGGGCAAATTAACCCTTTTCCGCTTCTTAATTTTAAAATTTATGCTTTTTACCTTGTTCAATTGATTAGTATTTTTCTGTGTTTATAATTAACTTTTTATTGAGCATATAGCCAATTATTTTACCATGTTCAATTGATTTTTACTATGTTAAAATTCCTAATTAGTTTAGCAAATAGTTTTTTATTAATTAAATTTTTTTTTCTCCTTTTCACACTTTTCATACATACTAAATATGTTAACTCAAATTGTAAATATTCAAATATTTTTTCTCCTCTTTCACACTTTTCATAGTAACTAAATATGCCTGTGTTGGAGTTTTCTCGGAGCCTCAGTTTTTGGTAACTTTTTGGCGACCTTTCTAAAATTTATCTTCTAATTTCCTTAATTTTGCAGCACAATGCACAAAATTTTGACCTAAGTCGGTCTTTTTTCGTTTGTTCTTACAACCTTACTTACAATATATGTATGTATTTATATATACATATATCTGCAATATTCAATACCGATTTTATTACTGCTTTCCCCAATCCAATGACTCTTAAATGTAGTTACCATGAGACATTTACTGCAAAAGTATGACATTTCTTTAGACAGATTTTCTTGCATTTTTATCCAAGTTAAATGAATATTCGGAGAATTTTCTATCATTGAGAGTAATGGCATATTTGTCTTGTATTGTATTTACAAATGCAATTTATACAATATTGACAGAACTCATACAAAATGACAGTAAAAAAAGAAGAAAGCAATAATAATTTTTAATCAAGAATTTGCTTACAGCTACTAACATTTAATAGAAGAATATACTTAGGTACATGTGATGATCATTTAGGTTACAGAATATTAAGGTTTTGCTAAATACACTTTGAACGTTTCAGATTTTTTAGTTTTACGAAAATGCTTGAATAGAAATAGAATGTGAAAGCAACTTACTATTATTTGAAAACTTTGTGTTATGTAATGATTAGGGTCCTTCTGATACTTAAATACCCATAAAATGGCATAACAAGAATAAGCAAAAAGTCGTTCAAAATTGTATTCGCATGAAAGATACTAACATACGCAAAATCAAGCAAAAATTTTATGTATAGATTCTGTCATTATTAGACCATTAGTACTAGTTCCACAATAATATTCATATAGAAACAGCAGTTTTTCTTGATATTAAGTTTTTGATTGGCTTGTCTACCAAACTTGGCATCGGTTTTCTCGCACCATCGAGGAGGTTGCATTGCACTGAAAGTCTTTGGCAAATTCTGGCAGATTAGACATGGGTCCTATCACTCTGAAACAGAAGATATACTTTTAATTCCTATGTGTATATTAAGACAAAGATAACTAAAACTAATTAGTAATATAAAAAAGAGTATTAAACAGAAACTTGTGTATTGCAAGACAAATGCAGTGCAACAGTTTTGAAATTTTACAGTACTTTCATCAGAGGTAAACTTTCATCAGATAAACACTATTTTATACTTGTGTGGACACTAAGATCCTTCTAACATTTCTGGCCATGAGATAGACATGGAAGACATCTAATAGCATCAGTTGATGGAAATGTGAACAAGAAAATAAAACCTATAATAAATTTCTTTAAGGGAAATCTTTAGAAATTTAGAAATGCATTTGAAAATTTCACATTTAGAGAAAAGTTTTGATGAGTATAGGAATCTGGACTATAAATTAAAACAGAAAAATATAAGTACTAAAACCTTTTACAAACTTTAATATGCCATGAAACATAGGGGTTTTAATAATTTTAGCTTTAGAGTGCGTAAAACGTGTTTTTCTTAAAGAACTAAAGAGTATGAGCAAAAATTGGGCTAAAAGGGGATTTTGGAATTCTCCTTTCTGAAAGTAACTTTTAAGCTGTTTAATAAAAACTTCAAAGTTAGGTTTTTTAACAATATTCTACATTAAGTCTTAATAGCAAGGAATTCTATTGATAAACAGAAATTATGGGTAGAAAGGTTGTTCGAATTTTATTAGTCGGACTTAAAACTAAAAGGAAGTTAAATTTATGCAAAGCAAGTGCAATTTTGAAACTAATGGAAAGAAAACATGTTAATTAGAGCTGAATTCTTAACATACATGAAGAGTTTACGTAACTATGCCAATTAACTGATTTTTTTAGTGGATTCGCCAGTGTAAAGAGATGTGCAGCAAAAGCAAGTATTGCTCGCATTTGTAAAATAACTCACCGAATTGTGATCAAAATACAGGCTTGCTTTGAATTATGTGCTGGGGTGTCTTGTAAGTTAATATCGTAAATTAATTCCGTTTTTTAAGTCTTTTTCTGATAATAAACGTCTTTTTTACTAACATATCAAACCATTCTTAGTATTCAGTCTGCACTTAGTCAGCGCTTTAATGAATTAATAAAAGTACGCAAATTGATTTGTGAAGAGGACATTTTTAAACCATTACTCAATAATATGAGATAGGAAGACTTTAGCCATTACAAACGTTATTAAATATTTGAATGTCCGATTAAATGCTGATTCGAAGAGAGAAATATATATCATATATCGGGTGACGCTAAGCGAAATAATAAAATTAATTTAGGGCAGTGAGAATAGTCGAATAGCAGAGTGAGAAAGCAGGTAAACTGTGGGAGATTTGGGATACACAAGAAGATTCATTTGTCATGAAAAGAACGTTTATGAACATAAAGAAATTAAAAGACTCAATTTTAAAGCGGGAATGAACGGCAGACTTCACCTGATTTATAAAAAATAAACTTCATTTAACTCTTTTTATTGCCTTTAAAAGGACAAATATATCGTCAACATACCAAAATTTCGGTGGGAATTTTCAAATAACGTCACTCATTATTGTAAATTTATCACCACAAAACAATTAATATGCAAAAGATATCAGTGAGAATAGAAGTGAGAAGCATTAAGCATCCTAAATTAAATACTTTTCGGACTGGGGTCACTTATACACATTTATAATATTTGGTTTATGAAATATGTACATTAAATATTTTATGTATGTACACTCAGGAAAAAAAAGAGAGAGATAGGGACAGTTCTATATCTCCCATTCTACTGGGCGATGGACAAAATGCAAATTGCGTTTTTTATGTCTCGAAAGCATGATTTATTATATATATTAGATTTATATATAGCATTGTTCTAACATAAGTATTTTGACACAAAATCAGACTTTTCCTGAAATAACATACCAAAGTTTTGCAGAGATCGAATTATGCCTAAATATTAAATTTTGTAAAATTTGGTGCGGGAAAACTTCAACAATTTACATTGGCGCAATTTTTTTCAGGTTGCGCCAAGAATAGTTCACTTGGCGAACTTCTTAGTATATGGCAACATATTTTCCTTCCATTATGCCGGAGCGGCAAAAAAAGGCACCTCGTTCCTACCTTTTTACATTGTGCATGAGCGGTAAAAAATTCACATCATTTCTACTTTCAAGTAATTTTAACAGTCTAAACCACATTTGATGTTTCATCGCTTTCAAAAAATATGCCAAATTTCAAAACGCGCCAATATATAAATTCACGTATATCTTCGTATTGTTTGAATAAAAAAATGTAATTTTTTGCAGGTATGCTTAGTACGTCTACTTTAAGATGATGGTAAAACTTTTAGAGTTTATAAGTCAAAATATTCTTTGAAAAATTTATAAAGATTATTTTTAAATACAAATCATAAAAAACGGGTGAATTTTGTTTGGAATGAATCTGAATTTCGAAATGTGAAAGGAAGAATCAAATAAGTTTAATCAAAAAAGATATTAATAAACATATACTCAATTAATAAACTTAATTAACATTGAGGAGCTAACATTTTGAAAATATTTTTTTTTTAAATTACTCGTGCGATTTTAACAAAACTTGGTAGTTTGATGTAAGTTGCTATATATAAATCTAATACATATCCTAAGTTACGCTTTCGAGACATGAAGAAGGCAAATTGAATTTCGTCAATCGGCTCAGTAGAACGAGAAATATAGAACTGTCCCCCCCTTTTTTTTTCCGAAGAGTACATATCTAAACAAAATAACAGCACATGTACCATATTTCGAAGAAATTCCTAACATTTGAAATAAAAGTTTTTTTTTATTTCTCTCACCTGAACTTGGATGGGCTGTATGTACCAGAGGTAACGATTTTTTTCAGAGTTTCTGGGCTTAATTTCTCACACCACATCTGAAAAAAAATTTTAATATCATATTCACATATGAATTGCATTTATGCTATTAGACATATAGAAATATGAAGAATTATTTTATATCGAAGTCACCATCTAGTTATTATCAAATGCAGTAGAAATCAGTGAGGAATTTGATTAAGATGAAAACTAAACTACATACATTTAAAGTTTACTTAGCTGAACTGTTTCAATATTATTTCTGTCACAACATTGCTACAGTTTTTAAATTCATATTTAATTAGTTATTACGCTTTGGTTTGTTTAAATGCATTCTGCTTGAATAAACTGACTGTTCTAATTAAAATTTTGAATGGATTGCCGGTTATTCATTATTTTTAAGCCTGAAAGAAAAGTATATGTTATATGTATAGCATATAGCGTTTTGTAACACATCATAATAACGCGCTTTTAATCATGATAGTCTTCTTGTTCTGCTTTTATGATTCATGTAATTGCCACAAAATATAACATTTTAAGAATTCCAATATTTAGATAAAATAATACTGTTTATTAAATGACCTTTAGATGCTACCACGGAAAGCAAAACTTACATTTGCCGCATATATCCAAAACAATTGGTTCGGTGTGTAGGTCAATCCTGGAAGTTTGAGCTCGATTTTACGATCTTTCACCAACGACTGATATGCCTGTGAAAAAAAATATAAATACTGTAGATCTTTGATTACTGGAAAAAAGTGCAAGTAATTTTTGCATAACCGAATTGATAGCATGACCCTTTTTTAAAACCAAAAATAATTATCTCAAGAATTTATTAAAATTATTATCTGATTTATTTTAACGAAACAAATTATATATTATTAACTTACTATATTATTAACTTATTATATTATTTATACGTTATTAATTTATTATATTATTTATGTATTATCAAATTCAGGAAACAAAACCTGTTCCAGTGTTTTATATTTTCTCATTGCCTGATTGGAAAGGCTTTGTAGATTAACTGAAGCATATTAAAATTTAATCACATAGATTGCAGGTTTTTCTTTTAGCGTTAACTATTGATTTATATAAATTATAACTCAAAATTTAATAAACTTGATGTTTTAACAATCGTGGCAATTTATTAGTCGTTCATGAATGTGTTGCATTTAAAGGGCAGTTGTAAGTATAATGTACTCACAAAAGGAGATGTATTTTCTAGTTAACAGTTATTTAAGCCAATTATGTTTCTTCTTTGCTAGTAGTAAACTAAAAGCAGAATAATCCCTGACCAAAATACTGAATTAAAGCAAAGTAAATACAGAAATAATGAAAGAGACAGGAGGTAAAGTTATGGAAAAGGAATAACAGAATCCATAGACATCCAAGAAAGCAACTGCTAGATACCAGAGAAAAAATTCTGAAGATAATGAGAAATCTCGTTTGCATCTCCTACATTTGTCTTCCAGACATTTGTCGGATCCTGTCGGCCTACGTTTTGTTTCTTGAATAAACGATAGTTTTGAAGGTCAAAGCTGCATAGTAAATTTGTCTTTAAAATCAAAAATAGAAAATGAACTTTAAGAACTGATGATCATTTGAATGCATTACTAAATTTAGGTGAAACCATAAAACTGACGTCCTTAATAAAGCATAATAAAGCACCATACTTTGTTCAACTTGAAGGTGTTATTTTTTATGCTTGAAAGAAGCTATCGCAGTTAAATGAATAGTTCTGAAAATAAATTAGTATAGTATTACTGTTTAAGTTGTATGGAAGATTGATTCGTGTTTCATACGAGAAATTTATCAAACTCTTATTTTATAGCAACGAATTATGAGAATGAATTCCCTGGGGTAGTTTTCTAATTTCTTTCATTGTGGATGAAAATGCTGCATAAAGGTTTAAATACGGAATTTTTAATGGTAATTGAATAATAAAATTAAATTTGATTAACTTTTCCTTCATTGGTGAGGAATAACTATGGATTCAATTTGTGTAAGTTTTCCACAAAAAATTGCATTATTTTCATCTGCAGTGCACTGAACAAATTCTGGAGTAAACTCTTAATTATAATACACGTTATAATGTGCAAACCTTTTCAGATAGTTTAATAATTCAGTTAAAAGCTAATTTTTTTACCTATTCAGCAAACTGATCTAAATGAGCACTCTTCATGATGATGCATGAGGGAATTTATTCGTCGCTAAATCATTAAAACTTTTGATCTTTAATAGTAGTTGCGTGGATATCTGAAACTATTTTTAGCCCAAAGAGCGTTAGACCAGAAGGCCTGTTAATTTCGTTTTGTCATTTTGCGTTGAAAACTTTAAAGTTTCGTTTCACTTTTCAAATTGTTGCCACCAAATATTAGAGCCCTGCGTTATAATTATGGAAATTAAATAGTGAAGAATCTGCATAAATATATGTATGTTTCTCGCATTGTGATAAAACAACGGTACCTAGAGAAATCAAATTTTGCATAATGTACGTTTCCACCTGATATCCCTGTTGAACTGAATTTGATGGTTTAAGTGCAAGAAAACACGATATTTAATAAATAAAGGTAACACACAAAATATTAAAAAAAACGCCCCTCGGGCGTAATGTAAAATTTGAAAGCTTTCAGATCATTTATTTATCTATTTATTAGTCCAAAGGGGCAATTTGCGCTGAAGGACTATTAATTTCGTTTTGGCATTTTACGTTGGAAATTATAAAAGGCAAATCACTTTTCAAAATGTTGCCATCAAATATTATCGCCCTATATTATATTTAAAGAAATGAAATAATGGAGAACCTGCATGAATGTATATATGTTTCTCACATTGCGATTAAACAACGGTACCTAGAGTCATCAAAATTTAAATAACGTAATCTTTCATAGAAAATGGGCATGTGGAAGCCCTAATTTGAATTTGAAATTTGTTTTATTATCGATTTCATATTTTCTAACACTTCATCGAATTATTGATTACAAAACTAAGTGATTTCAATGTGAACAATGGCAACGTTGATCGAAAAAAAAACATTTTTATCTCCAGCGCGCGAGACTCTGTATCGCAAACCCTAAAGATATGCTCAATTTAAAACTATTTTGCGATATTGCTGTTGAACTCAATTTTATGGTTTGAGTATGTAGAACATGATATTTAATAAATAAAGATAACACATAAAACATTAAAAAATCGCCCCTTTGGACGTAATTTAAAATCTGAAATCTTTCAGATTTTTTTTTATAAATAATCTTCTCATAATTTTTTTTCTTATGTATATCGTCATGGGTCTTGTTGTTAGCTTGTTAGAAAATGTATTATAAACTTAGTGAATACCTCTATGCTAAATTAAATATATTTACAAATATAGCAAGCTAATTTCTATTGTATATACTCATCTTACATTGCAAATCGGTTAGGTATAGTTTTAACAGGTGCTTGTATTTATCTGAAAAATTGGGGCTTCCTCTTCTACCCTTTTAACAATTATATACATTTTAGTGGATTTTATTTCGTCTTGCTGTACATTCAATATTTCCGTTTATGATTTCTAAATTTCAAATAATATTCTTACCAAATAAGCTGCTTTCAAAGCGGTGTTGTCAGCTATGTTTTCCTCTTGTGTGTTGACACCGTTTACCTATGAATGGCATAATTTTATGAATAAAATTTAATAGACTTAACATTTGAAAATGTAACCACAATACATGTTCAGCAAAATTCCATTACGTGTGAGCGTAGTGATTCTTCTTTAACATATAAACTGACAAAAGCAAGGATGCGTAGTATTTCTGTCGCATTTCGTCTGCCAACATATACATTAGTGCCTTAAAAACTAAATATATTTTGGGCACACAAACCAAATTCCGATAGTTTTCGTCGCCCATAGTTGACGTACATTGTACATAGCCATACATAGTACACATTTACAGTCCTGAGTTTCAAATTAACATCAGCTTTATTAACCAGTACAGTTTTAGAAATGTAATATAACACGACAAGATATACGTATATATACCGTAATCTGCAAACTTAGAGGATAACTCAGACAATTTTTTTATTTGACGGGATATGAATAGGAACCTATTGTATTAAATAAAGTTTGGTTAGGGCATAATAAGCTATTTACATGCCACAGAGTTGTCCATTAAAATTGCATGGGGAAAATTCAGTTATAAAAAATAAAATCATGGTATACTTAATACTTTCAAAGAACTAAAAAGTAATGGTTTTACTTATCCCTAATCAGGAAACAAACTTCATGATATCTATCTGTGAAATTAATGAGATATTTTAAGTAAATCCTATAAGATTCAAAATCATTGCACTTAATTAGTCTATACAGTTCTGAGTTTCTCAAAGCTGCGGACCAAGTGAATGGAAACACATGCCACTTAATCTTAGTAGAATTCGTTTGCTGAATGTATGTTCGGGAATGTAATCGAATCATATGTTCACTTTTAAAATCTTTATTTGTGTTGCTCTAACTGTGTAGAAGCTTAAATCATTGTCTTTCAGACCCTACGAGACTAACAAGTGAGGTGTGAAAAAGGCTTCGGTGTACTTCTTAAAAGTTTATTTCGAAACATGGATCCTTATCTACGTGTCTTTGTGTGGTTACAGAAACTTTATTGCAAATACGCAGATCAGAGACGTTTTCTTCTTTCAACCAAAAAAAAAAAAAAAAAAAAAAAAAAAAAAAAAAACCACCATTAAGGAAGCTGATTCTCTTTCACGGACATTCTGTAAAAAATTGCATATTTCATGTTTCTCTGGGAAAGAATTTGTAGTTAAACTGAACACTGGCTTACTGTTCAGTAAAATGGGTTTGATTATTTAGGCTTCTCTGACAATGTAACGGATACTAATTTAATTATTCGTTTTAGAAGAGGAAGGTAGAGGGATAGAATAAGGTAGCCGGATTGCATACAAGACCAATTTCTTGTACATTTCGATAGTCAATAATTTGATTTATTTTGTAATACTGAGTGCTGCGAAGTCAGAATTTAGTTAGTTACATTGTAGACACAAAATACTCTTATCTTACATTACTCATATACAAAATGTGTGTGTGTGTGAGCATTTACTTAAAAACAGAATGACAATCTCAAATACGTCTTACCTGCATTCCGTTTTCAGCAGTAAAATTACTATACTGCTCTATGAAACACTGGGCTCTCCTGTTATATGCATTTTCATCCTTTGGGTCCCACCAGTTTCTTCTTATGCCATCTTTATCAAATAACCGACCTATGATTTTGTCATCAATATTAATGAATACGGAAAGTAGAATTATATATTCCATTTTATTTGATACAGAATCTTAAACACACATGGAACCTCGATTGAATTATTTTTCATTTTACATTTTCTATCTTATAGTTAGTGCATTTAACATATATGCATATATTTCACTTGCTATAGCCATGTATGTGTTAAATCCATAATTTAATCTACTAGAAGTATTTGATTTTGTTAACGGTAGCATATTATATTGGTACATATTGTCAACTTTGGTTTATATTTTGACCATCTTTAAAAGAGATTATTTAATCTAATATACCTGACATTAAAATAATTATAGAAACGAAGATATTTTGAAAGCATCCCTACGGGTAATGATTAAAGCACTCATGTTCCACTATAAGCACATTTTGCTAAACGTTCCCCGCCACACCTGAAAGAAAACGATAGACTGGTTCAACAGCTCCTTTTGTGGCTTCATGTTTTCCCGAACTTAAAAATGTTTATTCTAGCTACCTATACATCTTAATATCAGAATCTACTGAGAATAAATCATGATGAGAATTGTAATCTGTCTAAAGTTTGGGAAGTAAATCTCTAATTTGGATTTAGCAATAGCATTTGTAGATGTACTGACATTGCAATGTACTGCTAAAGCAAAATAAGTCTAAATTCATAGAATTCAAACATAAGTCAAACTATTTTGTCGAGATATTCGTTTTCAGTTAACAAATGTTTATCATTGCAATCAGTTTATCATAAAACATATATAGGAAAGCGTAATTTTAAATCGTGAAATTAATAAAAACTACAGAAGAAAGTTTCAGTGGAAATAAACATGAATAATACAGACATTTCCCTTTAGATAGATTATCATGGCAGAGTTTGATTAAACTTTTAAAGCTATACTTCACTTACCCTCATCTCAAATTTACACACGTACGACATTTTTGAAATATTCTAAGCGCTATTTTTTTTAACTCAAAATCAAAAACTTAAAAGTTTAAACTGTTTTTATTTCTATCTGCCTCTAATCCTGGTAGTTTCAACCCAAAAGACTATTTATAATTTCCAGTGCCTGTAATTTCCTTTTGTTCTGAATTAAAATAAAATAAGGCAGAACTTAATATGAGATGTATATTAGTGTTCAAGAAAATAAAGTAACCATGCGTTTCAAAGGATCATGGGCCCTTTCCTTTTCAGATTCCCGTTCTACAAACAAAGAAAAAAAGTATTTTTCTCCATGAAGCGTATATTTTTCTCTTTATAATGATGAACCTTGTACGTAAATGCTAAAAACTTTTATTCGCTGAAAAAAGCAACAGAGGTGAATAAATTAGGCAAAATATCATATTATGTAATTTAGGCAATAATTTGGTAATGGAATAATATTTTCTAAGGATAACGTTTTTAAGTGTTGAGGATCAAATAACGTTTCTTAAATAATTTTAAACGAATATTGAAAAATTAGTTTTAAGCAGCTGTAGAAATTTCACTTATTTCTAATTTGTTCTGAATGCTCATATGCATCTTGACTCAAAACCCATTTGTCATTGCCCTATCTGAAAGGGTATATTAATACAGAAGCTATCTGTAAACGCACGCTCACGTATTCTTTCAATATTCGGAGGAGTCATGTGACACAAAAGTGAAGTAGATACGGTTTAATTACTTTCGATGCTTATATGAAGATCACGGAAATGAGTAGATTACAGCACCCTCTCCTTACAATCACTTAGAAAACATTAAACTGTTGAAAATACTGTTCAACCTACTGTGCTTTTCAAAAATTACAAGTATTTAATGTTGCACATTATTTCGAACTTAATTACTTGTAAGAATCAAAGTATGGCTATTACCAAACAGATTAAATTAGCTCAACGCTCAAAACAATGAGTTGCCAAATGAGGAGAATGTTTTCAGTGGCTTATTGGGTATTTTACAATATTTTTAAAAAAATGCAGGATTATTTTGTTATGAAGATTTTTTTCGACACCATGCTACGGCATTTGTCAACCATTACTGCATGTAAAGTAGATTGATACTCGGATCGGTTATCGCGTTAGGTTAGCGACGCAGCGTGAGTTAGTGTGTTTACGCAGCGTGTTATGTGTTAAGCGGAGTGCGTTATGTGTTGCGATGTTAAATACTTAATGATACTTTAATGTAAATAAATTCTTTACCTCTATTATCAAAAACTCGAGTTATTTCATGACCAATGGACTGACCAAGAGAACCAAAATTCAAGTAGCTAGAACAAATATATGAAATAATTTAGAATTCTTTTAGCATTTAATGCATATTGTAATTGAAATGAAAGCCAAAAAGGAATTGAAAACATTTCAACCTTGTTAAAAAGTTAATAAGTCATATTAATAACTTACTGTGGTCCATCTTCAAAAAATATGGGGAGCTGTAAAATTCCTGAAGGAATGTCTGTAAAGGAAGATTATTGATAATGGACTCAAGTAATACCCAGAACAGATATGATTTATTCAAAGGCATGCAATATTTTTTGAAATAAAAACTAAGCCAATGATTTCAAAAGCAGTCACGGCCAGATTTTACAAAAACAACGTACTGACATTGCCTTACAGGGCAAAAAAGATCTCGGAATTAAAAGCACGTAAAAAAGTGTTATGGATCAAAAGAAGCAGGATATATTCCGAAAAAATATCAAAGAACCATATACTTTGGAAATTAGGAAAAACATTCGCCTAATAATCTCTGTAAAATAGTCATATGTTAATGCCATTTCAAAATGTACTTTTGCTTTGTAAAATAATAAAATATCGTATTGCTACGGATACTGCTCTCGCATGTTTAGATGAATTTCATTGTAATTACAGAAATATTTTACCTAAAGATTTTATGTTTTAACTGTTTTGTTTGATAACCCTTATTCTGCACTATTTTTCTACACCGTAATTTCAGAGATAAAAAAGTCTTTTATAGTATCGCATAAGGTATTTTATCCCATTCCTCTTGAAAAACTTTCCAAAGTCCAAGGAGAGCTACAGGTTGACGTTTGGACAACCCGCTTTTAAAAAAGCCAAAAGCGCAAACCTCTGTGTTTGATATGACAGCATATTTATTAGAGATATGAGTGAACCGTTTTTTGTTCCATTTTTTTACGGAAAAACTAAGTGGGTTTTGCCTTGTGGCTGTTTGCTTCATCTTGGTGCAATTCTATTGACTGATGGCACTGTGGCTAAAGAGAAGGTATTTCGATTTCAAAACTGGATAAACTATATATTTTTCATAATATGTTGATTTGATCTTAACATTTTTCTCTACTCGCTTTATTTTTAATTTGCCGTTACGCGAAAAAACAGCAGCAATCATAAATCCCTTAGAAAAACTTCCTTTAGATTCCTTGAACCAAGTTTCAATATTTTTTCCTCCTCTTTGAGAATAATAAATGGATCTCCTTGTGTTGCAGTCATTTAAGTGCATGCAAGATTCGTCTATTGTGACAACATTTGTCCACTTTTGTTGGCATAAATGTTTTCCATAATGAGTTCTGCAACGCCTTCGGCGTTTGACAATATGTCGTGGAGAGAGATGTTGAACATTATTTTTTTCACCTTTTTATCATTCAAATTAGCATTAATCGCTTTGTTTACAGTTGACACTGAGCATTTAATAAGTTGGGAACTTTCCTTGGATTTCATGGATTTTTCTCTTAACATTAAAGTTCTTACTTTTAACACATTCGAAACATTCCGTTTTTCCTTGGATACTTATTTGGAACAATGTTTCCACTTGAAGCTAAATTGTGACATCTTTCTCTTTTGTTGTTGACGACATTACCCATCTTAGCTTAATAGAGTCTGCGTGTATTTTTTGGGAGCACTCAGTCTTAAAAACCTATGTTGAAGACTAAGTAGCGAATTCTCGTTTCGTGCACAAAAATCAGCACCACTTGCGGCTAAGTAACGGAAAATAAGAATGTAAAAATTCAATAGTAATTTAAGATAATCTAATGACTGGCTCCTTAGCTTAACTAACGCTAAATCGACTGCACACAGGAAAGCCGAGCCGAGAAATGTCAGTACTAACTTTGAAAGGTGTCAAATACCGAGCTGTCAGCTTACATACTGCTTCTGAAACGCGTTAAGAATTTATATCTACGTCATACAAAATTTACATTCCGGCAGGAAACTAAAATCAGGAGACATGGGAAAGTCAAACTAAAAATAACCGGCTAGAATAAAGTAAAACCTTACAGCTTTAGATATCGAAACACCATGGCTTTCACAAAGTTTTTTTAATGAACAGGTACAAATAATTTCCGAGAGAAAGAACACAAGCATAGTCTTTCATCCATTATCTCTTTAAAAGTGAAAAACAAAACTGTCAAATAGCAGACTATACTTTCAAAAATATAGGTCCGGTCAAAAAAAGCAGAAGACTTTTTATTTACAGCAAATCAAAATCGTCTAAAAATATGCTAACAGATTTCATATAAGTTAAGGATGTGAAACTTGCAAACAAATGATATATTTTTAATAAATATTTTTCATTGCGTCAAGCTCTGTAACCTTTCCTAAGCTTTTTTCCACCTCTTTATTTGTAGCTTAAGTTCAATACATATAATAAGTTCGCCTATTGAAATTTTAATATAATTTAACGCTTACACTAAAGGTTTGCATCTCAAGCATTTGGAGAAGGCTTAGATTCATATAACTGGTGCAATGGAGAGATGAATTACAATGCTATCAATTTTCCCCCTTTCATTTACCATGAACTTATTCCATGAAAAATATAAATAATGTAACATTGATCCATTAAAAGGAACTTTAATTAATTTAAATTTTATGACTGCTATAAAAGTATATTTTTATTACAAACTTGTGTTGTATTTTTTGCTATTAAACCGCAACGAAATTATTAAACTGGAAATTTTTAAACGAATTGCAAAACATATACACATTGCAGAAAAAAAATGGGAGAGTTCTATATCTCCCGTTCCACTGGACCGATTGTCGAAATTTAACTTGCGTTTTCCATGTCTTGAAAGCGCAATTTGCTATGTATATCAGATTTATATATATTAATATTCTAACATAGGTATTTTGATATAAAATCGGACTTTTCTGAAATAACATACCAATTGTTTTCCATGTTTCGATTCTACGACTCAAATTATGTCTAGATATTTATTTGAAATTTTTGGTGAGAAGATTATGGAGAAATTTATAAATTTATCTTTGCCCATTTTTTTCAGTCTGCACCAAGAATAATTCACTTGGAGAACTTCTCAATTTATAGCAAAATATTTTCCTTTCCTTTTCTCATTGTACACGAGAGTAAAAAAGACCATCCTTCATACTTTCAAATAATTTTAACAAAGTGCGTACACACTATTTGGCGTTATTATTGCTTATAAAAAATATGACAAATTTCAAAAGGCGCGAATATGTAAGTTTACGTACATGTTAAAACGTTTTGAATAAAAAAAAACCCTAATTGTTTGCAGGTATGCTTAGAAATGCATTTATTTTAAGATGATGGTAAAACTTTTAGAGGTTATGATTCAAAATGGTTTTCGAAAAATTTTTAAAAATTATTTTAAAACACAAATTTTGAGAAGTAAATCATAAAAAAAGGGCGATTTTTATTTGGAATAAAAGCTAAATTTCGAAATTTCAAAGGAAAAATCAAATAATTTTAATAGAAAAAAGAGATATTGATAAATATATAACAAATTCAGTTAACACGGAGGAGCTAAAATTTTGATAGCTCATTTTTAAAAACTATTCATGCGATTTTTACAAACACTTGGCACTTTAGTATAAATTGAGTCGTAAAATCGAAATATGAAAAAACAATGGTATGTTATTTAAAAATAAAATGCAGTTTTTATGTCAAAACACATATATTACAAGTAGAACAATGCTGTATGTAAATCTAATGTATATCTGAAGTCGCGCTTTGGAGAATTGGAAAACGCAAGTTAATTTTCGATAATCGGCCCAGTAGAACGGGTGATGTAGAACTATGCAGTTTTCCTTTGTGCAAGGTGTACATAATTATGTGACTGCTGGAATCGATATACTCAAAGATGATTTTTTCCATGCATATGATTATAACCAAAAAAAGTGAGATATTTCTTAATATTTTCAAATGATGTTAGGTGACTCCAAGTAACTAAGAGCATTTCTCAAATATTGTATTCAGTTATAGTATCAATATAGTATCTCAAATAGGTAAGTGTATTAAGTGCACTCCAAAATAACTAAGTTGAAAAAAATATAACTGTATGATCTTGTTTCAGTGTTAGGTAATTCAAAGTCGCATTTCTGTAATTTTCATTTCCACATATATGACTAGCTTCCTGATGTATTATCCCTCTTAACATAACTCTTAATAAAAACATAGTAATGTTATTATACTTATTATAGTATAATGTTATTATACTATAATCAATAATGAAATGCTATAAGTAATAAAATATAATAATAAAATTATTACTTGTAAGATTAATAAGTTTATAACAACAGTAAGCTAAAGACAAGGAAATTTAATTACCAATACTGTTAAGTACTTCATTGTAAAGAACTTGTACGTCTGTTGCCCTTGAATGATCGTTCCACCTAAAAAATATATGTATCAATGTGAAATAATTTTTTTACTCTTTAATTACATACTTTTATAAAATTCACGTTTAATTTATTTATAAAAAAAAGCTTTTATATCTCCCGTTGTACTGGGCTGATTGACGAAATTCAACTTTCATTTTTCATGTCTCGAAAGCGTGACATAGGATGTGTATTTTATTTATATCTAGCATTATTCTAGGATAGGCATTTTGACATAAAATCGGACATTTTCTGAAATGACACACCAACATTTCTGCATATTTCGATTGTACGACTCAAATTATGCCTAGATATTACCTCAGTGCATTTTCTCAGTTTGCACCAAGAATAATTCGCTTGTCGAACTTCTTCATTTATAGCAACCTATCTTTGTTTCATTTTCACATTGTGTATGAGCATAATTCCTACTTTCAAATAATTTTATCAAAGTGGTGAAACACATTTGAGGATATTATTTCTTTCAACAAATATGGCAAATTTTCAAACGCGCCAACATATAAATTCAAGTATATCTTCAGAAATTTTGAATAACAAACACTAATTTTTTTCAGGTGTGCTTGGAAATACATTTACTTTAAGGTGATGATAAAAATTTTATAGATTATAATTCAAATTGTTTTTCGAAGCAATTTTTAAAAATTATTTTAAAATAAAAATTTTGAATATAAATCATAAAAAATGGGTGAATTTTATTTGGAATGAACCTAAATTTTGAAATGTGAAAGGAAGAATCAAATAAGTGTAATAAAAAAGAGATATTAATAAATATACTCGAAATTCAATTAACATTCAGAAGCTAAAATTTTGAGAACTAATTTGTTAAAAACTACTCGTAAGATTTAACAAAACTTGGCAGTTTGGCATAATTTGAGTCAATCGAAATATAAAAATAAATTGGCATGTCATTTCAGAAAAAGTCCGAATTTGTGTCAAAATACTTATATTATAACAATATTATATATAAATCTAATACATATCCTAAGTCAAGTTTTGGATACATGAAAAAGGCAAGTTGAATTTAGTCAATCGGTAGTACGAGAGAACGAGTAGAACGAGAGATATAGAACTGTTCCATTTGTTTTCTTTTCCCCCGCGCAGCGTACGTTATATAATGTATTCAAGGGTCATTAGGACGCTGTGTTCAATATTAGATTTTAGTTTTAGATTTTGAAGCGCTTCATTGTTATAATAATAATTTTGTAGCAAGGTTTAAGCAAACTTTTCAGCGAAAAAATGTAATCAGAGTATTAAATATTACGTACTTTCCTTTAACATTTGGTTTCCTATGGAGAGAGAAAGAGTAGTCAGTTGACCACTTGATTATATTTCGTCTAACTTCAAAGTAGCGTGTAATGTCGTATCGCAACTGCAAATAAAGTAAATTGCTTACTAAACATCTCTAAAAATTCATTCATTTTGTAGATAATAATTTTTGAGAAATGCTATAGTTAATATTAACACACTTACATCTTTATACAAATCAGAGATATAAGAATCATTCAGAAGTTCCTTCGGGTATCCTATATACCAGAGGTAAGCCGTTTCGCCATGAGAATCAACATTTAAATTAGGCAGGGATAAAGGAGGCTGCGTAAGTTGATATACCTATAAATGCGATTTTTGTGAAATTATTATAGTTTTTGTATAGTTTTATCACTTTGCCGCATTATATAAAAATAATGAAAAGAAAAGTTATGTCATTTATCAAAATAAAAATTTACAATATAAAATATTTCGGTATTCACATTATAGCATTAATCTTTAATAATTTTTATAAACAACTGTTTATAAAATTATTTTAGTTTATAAAAGTTTATAAATAATTTTTATAAACTTCGAAGTATTTTTCAATAAATTTATTACATTGTAAAGAAAAACAATAGAAAAGTAATAATATTAAGTTACAGAAACCAATATAGCAACAGTAGTAAAATAATGATAAAATCCGATGGGAAATTTAAATCAGTTGGATATTTGCATTTGTTTCTTTCCTGAAAGTAACTGAATATTTCGATCAAGCTTCGTAACGCGCAGCCTTAGCGTACCCATCGGAAGATCTTCGTAACACTGAAAATCTTTAGTCGCAGCACGAGCAAAATATAAAACTTGGCGCCGAGTCAGTTTTATTAATGTCTAAATAAAGCAACGATTTTAAATGCTTTCATCTAAATAGAGAAACTAAAAAACAAACGTCTTCATTTTGTAAAATATTGTACAAAGTTCATCTGCTACATTTTCATCTAATTTGCGCTGCCGATCTGCTATAGTTCTTGAAAGAGGAAGTTGTTTGTGTTTATCAACGTTTTCTGGATTTAACTTAGCTACTGCTTCAACAATATATTATTTAATTATTTATACGTCACTAAATGATCAACCTCTTTTTTCCAAGTATATGTGCGATTTTGTAAGTAACAGAAACTGCAGTGATATTTTTCTTTACAAAAGCATTAAAAGACACCTGTTGGAACTTTTCATTTTTTAAACTGCAGGTTATCCAGATTCACCTTTTTAACTGAAATATGTGTATTCTTTATGAGTCAAATAGTGTTTATTTGCATTCTCTTTTATTCAAAGTAGTCAAAACTGTATTGCACAATAAACACTTACCTTCCACAAAATTAAAGAAATAATCTAACTCACACTCAATATTAAATATTGTATTTTCTTCATTTAATTTTCTTCGCTTACAATTTGACATGATGGAGAAAAAACAAATATCAAATAGTATCTTTAAGAAAGCGTATACTTACTAAAAATGCAATAAAATAGTGCATTAGTAAAACTTTAGAATAAGTACAACAATATTTTCACAATGGCCGACAGCAATATGAGACGGGACTGCTACCATCACACCCAACTACAAATCACCAACTTCCTGAAACATACAGGGAAATGCTGAGAGGTGTTGCAAAGGGAGAAAAGCAGGTACTGTCTGTCTCTCAGAACAGTCACACCGTCACTGTGTCTGGTGGGTGGCTGTTGCTACAGCAAATGTGTTAGTGTATTTCAAGTAGGGGTGATCCATGGCCAAAAATAAGGGAAAAAAAAGAATTTCTATTGTTGGACGTTGACAAACTGAAACGTGCAACATAATAACTATAATTTCAGACTATGAAGGACTCCAACAAGCTGAACAACACCTAACCTAGTGGGACAGCTGTTATGTCGATGGAGAAAAGAAAGAAAGATTATGAAGGGCCACTAGAACTGCAACACTGCAGCATTCTAATTCATGTTATGCGAGATCGATGGCTGCACGTTATTTAACTCTATTAATTTTCAAATTGTCGTTATCAGTACAATTATATATTAATAAATACAAGAGCTAGAGGCAGCACAAGTAACTCATGGATGCCGCACGTTCCCCACCTCTGCTATATGCGATATCAAAATCATCAACATAAAGCATTTAAATAAATTCCCAGAAAGCACAAAATTTCGAAACGCACTTCCACATTTGCTAATGCATTAATCAGATGCACTGAAGCTCTAATGTGGAAATTTCAGACAAAATCAGCGAATTGCCATTATATAAGATAAGTCTTATTTTGCAGCTACATCATTTATGGAAATTAAAATAACTGTATAATTATGATGAGATCTGAAATAGTAGTAGCACTGATTATAATGCATAGTAACAAAAAAACTGCCAGTTATTCGTTAAATTCATATACGAACAGAGTCTGCGAAGAAATTTTATTTTGATTTTTAGCAGACTATATAATTATTTGGGAATATATTTGAAAGTATATTGTTACTAAATGTACCGGCGCGGTGAGATAGCTTCCCGCAAAGCAGGTTTAGGGTTGCCATAAAACAAAAGGGAAAGCAAGGTTGCCACATTTGGCGAGAAATCATCCATTTCGCTACAAAATTGGCGATATACTGTTACGAAATGTACAGGAGCGATGAGATAGCTTCCCCGCAAAGGAGGTTTAGGGTTGCCATTAAATGGCAAGGGAAAGGAGGGTTGCCACATCTGACGAGAAATCGCCCATTGGGCGGCAAAATTGGCGGTATGCCATCGACGGATGGAGAACCTTCTGGAACGAATTCTTACCGGTTTAGCCCAGAATGTTCTCGAACTCAAACCGAAAGCTATATAAACCCTGCTGGTTCACAGTCAGTTAGTGTGTGTGCCTCGTCTAGCGAGCTATAGTCTGTCATTGAGCGAGTGTCTCAAAGTCTAGCGCCGAATTGGTCGTCGAGTGCATCGAGAGAGTCTTTTAGTGTATCGCGAGTTAGTGCATCGTCGAGTTTTGTCTTAGACTGTGCTGAGTCGAGAGCTATACTCTTGTGTATCGTTGAGCGCATTGCGAGTTGTAGCGTGGAGAGTCTAGAGAGTACGTGGAGTTCCGAGAACGACCAAGCAGAGTCGGGAGCTGTACTCTGGTGCTTTGCAGAAAGCTGTCTCTTACCGTTATTGCCTGACAATGTGAAGGCTGTGTCACTGATTGTTCCAGCGTGTTTAAAGTAGATCATCGACGACTGTAAAAAGTGTTATTGGAGCTATCCTGATTGATATTGGCTAAATAAAGTGTGTTTCGATACTTCATCAAGTGTCGTCTTTACTCACTCCAAATCTGCACGAACCCGTGAAGAAAATAACACAACAACTGGTGTCAGAAAAGATAAACGCAACAATTCGCAATGCACTCGACGATACAAAAGAGTATAGACAGTCTCGACGACTCAGCACAGTCTAAGACAAAACTCGACGATGCACTAACTCGTGATACACTAAAAGACTCCCTCGATGCACTCGACGACCAACTCGGCGCTAGACTTCGAGACACTCGCTCAATGACTGACTATCAACTCGCTAGACGAGGCACACACACTCACTGACTGCGGACCAGCAGGATTTATATAGCTTTCGGCTTGTGTTCGAGAACGTTCTGGGCTAAACCGGTAAGAATTCGTTTCCAGAAGGTTCTCCATCCGTCCATGGTATATCGCCAACTGTCGCCAAATGGCCTATTTCTCGCCAAATGTGGCAACCGTGCTTTCCCTTGCCATTTTATGGCAACCCTAAATCTGTTTTGCGGGGAAGCTATCTCACCGCGCCGGTACATTTCGTAACAATATGATAACATCCAGCAAGTTAATATGTCAATTTTTCTCTGGCTTCATCTTTCTTAACGCCAATTAATGAATATGCTGATATAACTTATGTAAAAATTGTCTTTTGCAGTATTCTGTCTCCACAATGAGAATTTGCTTCATCTTCGAGAAGAAACTCAGCTTTTAATATTATGCAAATTCATAAAAATATCTTACAACGTGTTTCCCTTTTCTAGCAGCGTTATTTGTTACATATCAGGTACATACTTTTAGTTTACAGGTTCAGTCCTGTAAACTAATTTTCTAAACTTATGACGACGCATACATTCAAATATTTGATACTTAAAAGAATATGTATGAACAATATTTACTTTGGAAGAATGTTTCAGACGATTATTGATTTTACGATATATATTGTAAATTATCAATATGTAAAATTGGTCGTTTTAGTTCAGAGACTAAGAAAAACATTAATTTATAAACCTTTACATTTTTAGAGTAGTCTATTTTAAATACGAATTTCTAAATTATAAACTTAATTTTGCGTACAATTACATATGGGAGGAATTTCATTACGATTGTAGATACATTTTATTATAAACCAATTATATAACTAATTAAAGAAGAAAATGCATGTGTTTGAATTTTTCTAGAAAAATGCAAGCAACTGGTGTCAGATATTAATGTTATCATTGATGTTCTAATAAATTTTCTCACTCTTAGAATGATAACTATGTTTCTCAGAAACTGGCAGCAATTTAATTTTAGTTTAGTTTATATGAAACAAATTATAATTTTAATTTAAAGCCGTAAAAAAAGGGTCCTGACGCAGAGCTGTGTTGATGCATTGCAAATACCGAAAACTTATCAAAAAGATATTCAACACTTAAACAGCACTGACTTAAATTTCATTACGGAAGTAAATCAAGCTATCATCAATTCTGTGATATAGTGTGCATGCAGATACGTTTGCACAATGAAAACTATCTTACTAAAAACTCGTTGTTTTCAAATAATATTTAGAAATTGAGAAAACACAACAAAACCTTTTCTATGGCCGTTTCTTTAGTTTCGCTGCTTATCCATTCCGTGTTTCTTAGCATATGTATAAATTCACTCTGAATATAATCGACATACTCTTGAACCTGAAAGCATGATGAAGAAGATTATCAAATAATCATTATTAAGGTCATTAAAGTGTATTATTAACACTGCTAACGGAAATTGTAGAGGTCTTAAGTAAAATATGATATTGATATATATATATATATATATATATATATATCATATTTTACTTAAGTTTAACACTGAGTGAATGGCTATCTCTCTAAATTGCCGAGATATCGCCAAGCTTGAGATGGTTTTGGCGACTACTTTTTGTGGCCGAATTTAGCAAGAAATCGGTATTTGGGTCCGGTCATTGTATAACTGTACTGCGTATTGCAATTAAATAACCCCCTGGAAGTCTACGCTGGAAAGCTGATGAAGCTACTGGCTAGGGTCTGTACTAGGCAGTCTCGGCCACGGGGATATATAATCAGTCTTCATAGGGTTAGATCCTCCGTTCATTTCGGAGGATAGTTTAGGCTCAGCAAGAACCGTATGATACTGTCTTGCCTGACCCATGGCTGTGGGGGTCACAACATTATTAGACACTGTGTCTGTTCTGGAACGTCTGGTCCCATTCGTTCCTCTGCTGAGGAACTGACAGAGTGGACGGGACGCCTTTACGAATTCGTATGATGCAAAAGTGGTACCGTGGAACAAAGATGATGATGATCTTCTTGATAAGCGTACTTCCCCAAGCTTTATAAAGCCCGAAGGAAACCGCAGCTGCTTTCCCCACTTCAATGGTCTCCGAAGTCTGGACGCTAATTCTTTAAAGCTATGTAAACCAGGACAGGAATTCCTCTTAATTGTTCTTCAATTAAATATCTGAAATTGATGCTATACGTAGCTAGTAACTAACGTGATGTGTAGCTAGAAAGCATAACCCTAATATACCTTCCAGTAGTTTCGAGAAATGGAATTCCTTAGAGGTTACTGGGCGGTCGGGTGAAAATTATACAAGACTTGGTGAGAGCATCTGCTGTTAATTTTCAGTTCGGATCTGAATTCAAATTATTGAGATATCCGTGAGAATTTCCCCTTACAGCTGCGTTTTCCATTGCATTGTGTTTAGCATTCTTAATAGTTCACCAGTAGTTCTTAGTAGTTCAGCTTCTTAGTTCAATATTCATTTGAAGTATAACTACCGATTTTATTCTGTGATAGAGCTTGAACGATTACTTTTGTGGAATGTTCCAGAACTGTGAAGTGTTTGTTTTGGTAAAATAATTTTACAAGCTATCATCAATACTGTGTGCGTTCAATCTATTACGATCACGTACGCACGCAGCAATGATAACTACATATGAATGTAAAATATTGTATTAGATGAAATAATTTTAAAATCTTAATATTAAGATTAGGAATATCTAAACATGTTTAGTGTATCAGAAAGAAATAGTGTTCTACAGGTTTTGAAATGTCTCTTTTTGTCTATATATTTTAACCTCCTTTGCAGTCTTCGTCTCTATACGGTGTTAATAACTGATACTTTTTTTTGTTATTTGTTTGTGTGTTTACTTGATGGTAATTGTTTGTATCAGATACCGGTAGTTATTGCTTTGCAGTTTTATATTTTTTAATATTTCGCGTTTTGAGTAAATTTTAATTCGTGTTTCAATTATTATATTTTTTCTTGATTAGCTTAATTCTATAGGACTCTAGTAGATGTGCCATGAGCGAATTTGGAATTGTATGAAAAAGTTAAAAAGAATGAGATCTTGATTGTTAAAATCTGAAAACGTTTAACAGTAGACATTTGTCAGCAAGTTGGTGACATTCAGCTCCTTAAATACATTAGCTATTCTGCCTATATAAATAACGGATAAACTTAAATCATATGTGAGTGATTTGAGTCCTTAATAAATGCTCACGGGAGGACGGGGAGTAACAAAAAGGAAATGTAATTTTTCTAATATGAAAGCGTACAAAATAAAATAAAAGAATTAAGAAAGAATAGATAAAATAAAAATTTTAAAACCTTTTTTGAATCTCCTTTTATTTATAGGCTCAAATTTTCAAACTAATTAAAATTTTCCAACTAAGATACATTGTGGGAGATTCAGATTTCCAAATTAAAAAAAAGGAATTAAAAATTTCCGCAAGTTTTTTTAAAATAAAGAACGACGACACGATGATTTAACAAAATGACGAGAATAAATTATATCTAAAATAATTTTTAAGAAGAGAAGAAATTTAAATACGTAAATAGTTAAAATAATGAAAACTAGATTTTTGAACAAATATTTACATAAAAAAATGCCATGAGAACTTCGAATGATAGAAACGCTACTAGAGTAAGTTTCGCTTCCAGAAAATATGACGAAAACCTTTTCTTTGTGAGGAAGTGATCTGATAATGCTTCTGTCTCTTTTTCACAGAGAACTTGTTTGTTATTGAAGTGATCCCAATACTTCATATCAATTGGGGGTAACGTTTTACAGAAATGATCCTGGATTGTTTACTGCGCTTTTTTTTAAAGTATTATGAAACATTCAAGGCCTTTCATTCAGCTGTCGTACCCATTGGAATATTCAACGGAACGTCTGAAGGTTTTTGCAAAAACGGAGAGAAGGGTTAGTCGAACATTTTTGAAAACGTAGGTGACATTTATGCGCTTAAAATATGTTTTGAGAGTTTTTAATGAGAGTTGTGGACAACATATTTTTAAAAAGGTAAACCTACTGGACGAAGACAAAATATAAATAAAAACTGATGAAGGTAGAATTAGAGAATGTATAAAAATTGAATAATTATAAAAAACTAAGAATAAAAATAAGCCTTAAAATTAGTTAATTAAAAGTAAGATTAAAAATTATATTTTTGCAAAAACCTTTAGTCAACTACTTCAAACCAATTTCTTGAATAACAGCAGCTTGTTCTGACGAATTGATTATCAGCAGGTTGTCACGTTATTTCATTTAACAATGTTCTTAATTACAAAGGTATTTGAAAGTGTTTGGCACTTCAAAACCTCATTCTAATTTAAAGCATCTTTTCAGCATCCCATAGTACACTTTAATAAATTTTTATATCTAGAAAACAATGTCATATTTAGTTTAAATATCACGCTGAATAACAATCAAAAACAAAGTCTAACATTAAGAATCAGTGTAAATTTTAAAAAATTCAGCTAAGTGCAAATTGTGATTTGCACTTAGCAGCTTTTAGTTAGTTCAAAAACTATCAAAACTAGTATTGCAAAAAATGAATTTTTAAAAAAAAATTTTTAATTAATTTTATTAATAAACTAAATATGACATTCAAAAACATGTCATATTTGGTTTATTAAAGTACTATTTAATCAAAGTTTTCTATAATGGAATAATCACTTAATGTTTCAACTTAATGTTTGACATTTCATATTAAGTGACTCAAACATTAAGTGACTGGACAGATCCAAAGATACATTACAGTCGTTGAAAATCTACGACAAATACGCTGAAGTAACCAGAAACACAACCTTCAAGGTATCAGGTTATAATGATGAAGAAAGCTTCCAAGCCAAAGCACTTAAGTACAGCTCCCAACTCGGTCGATCGCTCTAAGCTAATATCTGAACTGAAGTCACTGCTACTACATTACTACTCAAGATGCTCTTCAGTCTTCGAGTACAGGCATGGTATATATAATTTTAACCTACCTTCGAGAGTATACTCGAGAAAACTAAGAATACGTTCTTGAATGTTCTCGCACCGACGTTCTTGAATATCGCCGTTTTTTCCACCGAATGGGCGATTTCCAGGCAACCTGGCAAAGCTGTCTTTTCCTGCCACTTTCTTATAACTTTACCTCCCCCCACCCTTTGTGGAGAAGCTATCTCACCGCAGCTAGGGATTTCGCAACATCATTATAACAGATGCTGAACCTGGTTCAAAAGATTCCATAAATAATGACATATTAACATGTCCTTCTTTAACTTTTAGAAAACCGAAGCCTTCGCTAATATGCATGCTTAAAATACAGAAACGCCTGTCCACCTACCCTCGGTTTCCTCACTTTCCATTAACCCATAATGAGTTGTGAAAATTTCAACTGACATTCTTTCTATTTCCTGACAAAGAATTTTGTACTAGTTTCTTAGAACAGCTTGCCTGCAATAAACTGATACAATCCATTTGGAGAAACTGCACCTGCTACTGCATACCTTAGGGAAAATGAAGAATACAATATCTGAATCTCAGCCGTTTCGGCCGATTACGGTCGTTTGACTGAAAGGTCGTCTCGGCCGTTTTGGCTTTCCGCCGCTTAAAACTTTTATATTTTCGAAATTGTTTATAAATTTATAGAAATGCCAATGCTCCTGAGATTCAAAACTGATAATTACAGAGACCGAACTGCATAAAAGAGAGCATCCATTCCAAACGAAATGTTTCCTTGCGACATCTTGGTCATGTACAGGACCTCTGCAATTGTATAAATTCGTATTTCCATGTCATAATTTCCATCATGCATTAAATTTATAGGCCGAGGAGTATATAAACCTTCTTCACTGCATTGTAAAATCTTTTTTATCCTTTTCAGTCTATACTTCTGTTTTTGGGGTTTTCAATGAGATTTTTAACGCTTCCAGTTCATTTCTTATATCTTTAGCATCTATAGTATCTTAAACTTTTAAGCAGTTACCTTCTATGTGTTCCAAAATAAACTCTTTATTTGTGAGAGTTTGTTCATTTTTCGGATTTCAACAGCTGGTTAAAATGTTATTTCTCACATTATTTTTTTTCTATTGTTCGTCAGTTTGAATTTTGTTTCTCTCAGATTCTTTCATTAAAAGTATAATGCTCTGTCATTTAATTAAGATTAAAAAAATTTCATTTCCCCAATGAGGGTATAATAAAAGTTTGCTAAGAAACCATATTTAAAGATTTTTCTCTGCTGCAAAATGAAATAATATCTTTGGAGTATTTGTCCTTTCGTAATTAGAATTAATTTTTATACTATTTCAATCTAAAGAGTCTTCGTGATGTAAGAAATTTAATTAAATCATACGGCAGAGATTTCCAAACTCTTTATCACGTACATTGGTCACCAAAGGATAGAATGAAAAATGAAATTAATTTAAATGAATTAATGAATGAATGAAAATGAATTAATGACATTAATGACAAATTATTAATAGAAGTTTATAAAAAAGCATTAGTTAAATAAAGTGGCTAATCCAGTCAAGTAATATCTTCTGTTTGCAAGTATTCTTACATCATATATACTCGATGAAGCCCAATATTGTCATAGAAAAGCAACAATTCTGTGCTAACAGAACCCCTAAATTGTCTATGGTTGAGTTTCAGTACCTGATCCACATGTGGTGGGGGGCGGTTACAGAACCTCCTTGAAAGATATACAGCCGTTTCTCATGATTCCTCCCCAAACCATTAAACCATGGTTGCGGAAATTGGATATTTCACGGGCAAGGGAAGGCAAATTGCGTGTTCCCTTCCTCTCTCTAGATCAATATGTATAGACTATATATGGACTCGTCAGTAAAAATTACAGGGGTCCAATCTTCTTGACCGCGTCGAACATGACGACAGCACCAGTTTAAATACTAGTACTTGGAGAAAGTGGAACACAAAAGTTTGGCTTTGTTGCATACAGTACAATCTTGTTAAACCTTCATGCAACAGTACAGCCACTGATTCGAGATCCTGTGGCATCCTGAAAGCCTAAAACCAAATCTCTTGTAATCGTTTTGCGGTTACTCTGAGCCAACAGTGGCAGAAAACGGTCTTTTCTGATGCACGTATTGCTCTGGGTCGCACTTCCAGTCTGTCTTTCAACAGATCCAGTGCTTAAAAAGCGATTCTAAATTCTTGATGTGGCACTTTAAGGAACATTTGAATTTTGGGCGACCTACATTTATCTTTGATCTCCCACGATTCTAACAATTATTCCCTAATTTTGTTCTTCACTACTGAATACTGATCACTCTCAGAAACCACATTCACTTAAACAACTCTAGATATCGGAATTCTAAAGTGCATCCACTGCGCACCACATTGTCATTAATCGAATTTACATATTTCCGGAACTAACGTATGCGTGGAGATTCAATTTTTTGTTGAATTATATTTAATTAATATAAATAATTACAGTATTGTGCTGTGGTTGCAACATTAACTTAGTGAGCATATTCTTCTCATTATCCTTTAAGTGTGATGACCACTGTGTATCACTCACACTCTGAGTTTGGAAAACGGATCTATTCTACTCTTCTAGAGATGGAAACCTCTATGAATGTATCTGGAAACATGCTATCTCATCCCAGCCCGAAGTGAAAAATACTTGATTAAGTTTGACGTTTAGAAAAATTATACTTCCGAAAGTGGAGCCGTCTCTGAGGAAATGGACTTCGGTTATTACGATGATGTCATCAGCTCCATAACCCAAAGACGATGTATGAATAAGAGGAATTTTTTGCTAAAAAAACACAATTAGATGATGCCCCCGGACGACTGGCCGGCTCAGCATGACCAGGCATCGCAAAATCGTGATAAATTAACCAACTTTTGGTTGTGGGAACAGATTTATCATCTTTTTCTAAATTAAGAATAATAACGTTCAAATTCATATACAGAAATTTGCTGAAAAAAAAGTAATTTTAACTGCGGAACTTCTCATGCATGCTGACATTCATAATGACATAGAACCCTTTCCATAGGAGATGCAACATTTCCTGAGTAATCTCATCTCTTTGGCGCAAAACCGACCTGCTTCCGCTAATGACGATTAAGCGAAGAGAATCGAACAAACAGTAGTATCGGAAGAATAGGCTCAATCGAACCTCTAACTCCTTAACCGTAAACGTTCAATAGTACATTTGAGATTTCATAAAACTTACGTTCTACACCAAATTAATAATAACATTTTAGAATTAAAAATATCCAAACACTTGGGAATTGATGGAAATTAAACTCAGTTATCGAAGTGGAAGGTAAAAATGGTTTTCTTCCCAAAAATGAGAATCAAACTTTACTGGCATATTTCCAACAAGAGGTGCCCGTGAGTGAACACTAAAGGAACTACAGCTCTTTTTTGATGATTCACCCTTCGCTCGCTCAGAAAAGTGAATCCGTTCTTTGAATAAATTCGCGAGCGAGTGGAGCATCTCTATTCTAGAACGAATTATTTGTGGAATTTGTTTTAAAATGGTGTAAAAATTTTTATTTTATTTTTAAAAGTATAAAACCTTTAATTCTTTAATTATCAAAATGGACCATATATCTTAAACTTCTTCAAAATATTTCGAAAGCGTATTATTCGCGCATATTTTGATTGATACTATTTATATTTATATATATATAGAACGTGGATGCTCTTTGTAAGGCCGCTACTGTCACAAAGATTTAAATGTATTTTAATTTCTCCAACAAATAAATAAATTAGTCATTAACAGACTCTAATTTCACGATTTAGACAAACCACATTAGTGAACGAACATATTTGTGAAACTGTAACGAACATATTTGTGAAACTGTAAGTAGAATGAATTAGTCTGAAACATTGCGTTACTTACTGCTTCCTTGTTTTCCTCTGTGATATAGTTTCGAACATAATAAGAGCTGAGGGCTACACCCAACTTATCTTGTATGAAAGAGAGACATTCTTCCCAACGTTCTTTTGTTGGGGCATTTCTTGGTTTATATTTCATGGACCTAAACTTTTTCGATAATGACGGTAAGATTCCATCAACAGCTCTCCACACCATATAGTCTGCTAACACACTGAAAAAAAATGAAATGAAAAAGTAACAGCTATTATGCAATAACAAAGATAACACCTCTCCAGATATCTGTCAGTAAAGTCATCTGTCTCTTTAAGTCTCTTCACCTAAATGACTTTGTAAGTCTTTGCCATAACATACCCAGCATGTCTACAATATTTCATGGTTAAATTACATTACTTAAGTGATATCAAACTCTTTGCAGCTGCTCTACTTAAAAGGTTCTAAAGAGGTTACTTTTTATTTTAAATGAATAAAATGTATGGAATTTTCTTCTTATCAAAGCAACAGACTTAATTTAGGTCTTAGAAATTTAACCGATACTTACGTGATACTATTAATGATATCATGTTTTAATGATATCATGTTACGTGATACTATTAATGATATCATGTTTTAACAACTATATTTATAGCATTAAACTTGCATGAATTTTCTTACTTCTTTCTTGTTTTGTTAATCAAACTGGCAACATTCATGACAAAATCTATATCCTCAACCATCACAATGTCATTTTCAGAGATTTCGTCCGTCAGCAGTCCATTGAAATATTTATGCCAGTCAATCTATCAGAAAGAAAACTGAATTTCACATTTATGATTGCACATAATGAGATTTTCCATAAAACTGAAGTATCAAAATAAGATTTCAAAATCGTAAATTTCGACACAAATGCTTAATTGAAGTAATAAAGAATTTGCCAATAATTTTCTATAAAGCTTGGTAGAAATATTTTAATATGCATGTGTAAATTTTAGTTTTCTTTTCGAAAATTAGAAGAAAATGAAAAACGAGTATCTATATATTCACTTAAGGGCTAATGTTTACTATAACCTCTTGAAATTCGTTTATAATAGATTAATATTTGGTCGATAAAATTCCTTTAATTTAAAATATTAAAAATATATTTTACTCTTTCCATATCTTATATATCATCAAATATTTGAAAGGGCAAGGAATTCTGCAACATTCGACAAAGATGATAATCCAGAAAAGTAAGGTTAGAAAATATGGTGGATAATACCAAGTGTACTAACCAAAGTCGAGAAAATGTTTCAGATTGATCAGAGCGGTATGAAGTCTGACGTTGTAATGTGAAGGATAATGACTTCGCCAACAGACAAATGCTGGTTGCTTGTAACTCAGTTATTGAATACATGTACTCGACTCATGCCAGTACATATCATCATTAACTATTTGCTTATGTAGGCGTACGCTCTAGTGGATTATTACCTTCATATCTCACCGTCCAAGTAACAAACCCTTATTGCAATATAGGGTTTCCTGAGGTGGATGGGAAAAGCTCTGCATCGCGTTACTTTGATGCAAACATAACAGTTGAGTGTCCTTTTCTCATGATCCGTTTTAAGTGGTTTATTGTCATAAATGGTTCAGAAAGCAAACAAACTTAGGTCCTAGTCTTGGTTTGTCGTCAATTTTGAGAGACTTTACGCAGAATCCACCAATTCGGTTTCTGATGAGCTCAGGTACATGTAAAGACATCGTTTCTGCAATTTCTTCAACAGTTGCATATCGGGACATTTTTCATGTCTTCTCAGCAACAGCTGATGTATGTGTGATGCGTGGTTTATTTTCATTCCTTCTTAATGCTTCTGAATCTCCTGAAGGAAGGCCGAGATGTGCTGTTGTTAATAAAACTCTTCGTTAAGAGTTTTAAACTCTTAAAGAAAATACCGCCATGCTAGGGCTTCAATCTCAAACTTCTTTCTCAAACTTGTACAATAAATAATATGTGATATGCTCCTTAACATTTGCTATATTAAAACGTTTGACTATTTTTACAGAACGCTTAACTCTTAAGAGGATATTACCTTTATATTCTAACTGATTATATGCTTTATGGAGTGAAATTTTCAGTCACCACCTCAATCATATACAACGGCAAATCCACTCTTAAGTGTAGCTCCAAATATGTGTAGGAAATCATTTTTGCACTCACGTAATATCCCTCTTACCTCCCTGTTATATATCGAGATTGTTACCATTATGATGTTTTACACTAAAAAGGATTTTTATAAACTTTACCTCTGGTATCAGACTCTTAAGCTCGTCAATAGTATATTTCATGCTGATATTTTTCGTGCTTTCTTCTTCCGTGTTTTGTAATGAGAGCTGCAGTGATTAAAAAACACCCAATCAGTTAAAAAGTTAAATAAAATATCAATTAAAGGAAACACCTAGCTAAACGTTCCGGTTAATATTATACATTAAATTATATTTCAAAAATCAAAATCGTAGGAAACAAATCTTTGAGAAGAAACTTAGGTAAATTACGTTACTTATAAAAGATCGAGTATATAAGGTATTTTCTCCCTCGTTTCTGAATACCTTCGTGGTGTAACGGTAGCACACTCGGCGCGTATTCGAGGGCATTGCTCATGTCTCATCCTAATGAAATAATGACCTAAAAACTCCTAATTACTTTATACCTTAAGATAAAATAACACACTAATCAAATATTAATTTAGAAATCAAACAACAAAAATCAGCGTTATATATGCAAATTTAACGCTATGAAAATTTGCAAATATATCTCTGATTTTTGTTGTTTGATTTCTAAATTAAGACTCTATACCTTTTAAGTTTCATCTAATGACATAATATTTTGTGTTTATCCTTTCCTGTTCTTTCTGTTTTCCCAAAAAGTTTGTGCAGATTGAGAGATTAACATAATTGACGATTCTGAAACTGATACATAAAGATCGTGCACTGACAATGCATAAGACCTTTTTATTGCGTACAGCGATTTCTTGAAGCCGCTCTACTGAAAAGAAATGGCGAGTAATTTCATTTAGCTGCTAAAATCTCGTACTAACGAGGATAACGACGATAGTAAGTTTGACCCGAAGCTTTGCGGACGTAGTTTTACTACTATTTTTTGTAAATTTTACTACTATTTTTGTAAACTACTAATTTTTTGTAAATTACTAGTATTTTTGTAAATTTTATTTATATCTTTCTTTTGCTAATATTTTTGTAAATACCGTATTTTACTTAGAAACCTCCTAAATAATGGTGGACATTTTTGCTAATTTTTAACGTTTAGTCTTAGTTATAGGAATAATAATAGTTAATCGTTAACTGACTTCTGCTTCTTTATGTGTTAGCTAAACTTCACCAGTACTAGTTAGATAGCTCATAGATAAATGCGTATGTGTTTATTCAGGGGAAAGGAAAATGATTTAAAATGAATCTCATATTACCTTCGTTTGTTTCATTACTAATTTCTTGTTTATATCATTTTCTGCTTAACTGTGCATATTTTTGCCTTTAAGTGTTCAATTGAGACTCACATCACTGTACGTAACAGTTCATGTGAAGAATTCTGTATCTGTAGATAATTGAAATACTTGCAATTGGATTCGTGTTCAAATCCATGCTAAAGAGTTCGTTGCATGAAGGCTTTGTATTGTTTTTCCATGTGTAACGTGAATAGAAGGCATTTTTCCTAATAAAGTTCTTCATAAAGGCTTTTAAAAGCGTCAGATTTAAATTTACATTCACATTTTTAATTATGGTTACATATATATACTTAGAATTAACTTTAAACAAATGTATACTTAGGGAAAATCTGTTCCGATCAAATATTTTCATAATAAAAAGTACGATCTTTCCAAGTTCTGATTTTAAAAGATTGATAAGTATGAAAACTGTTGATATAATCAGATGATGAAGAGTCTGATAAATTCGAAACTAAGGATTTACAGCCTCAATTAATGCATATTTTAAGAAAACAAACCTTTTATGTCATTTGCACATTTTTGATGAATGAGTGAATAAAACGAGTGCTGGAGGAATTTTGAACCATTGTCACAGACCATTTAAATATTTCTATATCTGTCAAGAAATAAATTCTATTTTAGAGCCTCTCAGCAGTTAAGTGTTGAAAACGGGGATTTAGAATCTATAACATTTGGCGGCTTTCCAAACCATATATATTATACATGTTAAATAACCCCTATCTACATTCAGAATCTTCAGTTACTATTTTGAACTCTTAAGTAAAATTTGCAAGTTTTCTATGCATTTTATTATAACAAATTTAAGTCCATTGAAGTTAGCATGGAGCATATAAATAACAGATAATCAGGTGGAGCAATGAAGTAATATCAAGATATTTATATGCGAGGAAGTTGAAGAAAAAAAAAACATTAAAATAATAAGATGACATGAAGCAAAATGTATGCTTCCTTAAAAAGAAGTCTACTAAAAGTAAAACAAAAAATCTTCAGCAAGAAATCTTACATTGGCCAGCAAGACTTCAAATCTGAACGCTTTATGGATTCGCTTTATAGCTTCTGAATCAGATCCACCTAGTTCCTTAATTACTGTCTCCATCGAAGTCAAATATGCTTTAGCAGCTCTGTCTCTTTTTCCCAGTCGCAAATGTTTAGCATGTATTCCTAATGGTGGCTTTCCCAACTTGAGGGGGGGAAAATGAAAAATTATATAAAATACATTTGGAAACACATCAAAGTTTCAGAATTCCATACTGCGTTTTATGTGATAAGTGTGATTCAATCTTTTTATGTATTTATAAGGGATCATTTTATTTACTTCTTAAAGGAATTATATATCGTGTTTTGAATAATGGTTTATCATAATTCCCGACCTAGTTAACCTGTTGTATAGAAATATCTCAATTTTCATAAAACCGACAAACATAGTACGCTTAATTCTACGTTTACTTCAAAACTTTCCGAAATTGTGAAAAATACTCTTATTTGAATGTGCTGGATGTCATAGCATTTGATAATATCTAGAGGTCAGGTTTATACCGGAGATGTGAGAAACAATTTTTCAGTGTGAGAAATGGAAGCACACACAATGTGTCAGTGGGATTTTATAGATGGGAATGATTATTTATTATCATGTGCATGGTGATTATGGGTCTCTCTTTGGGGAGGAAATCATATACACAATAAATTTAAAAAATAACATATTTCAGCTGTTGCGTTAAGATCACTCCTTTCATTTGACGATATCGTCTTGACTCTCAAGTCATATTTAATGAGCTTCATTAGAATGTCCATATCGTTAGAAATGAATCAGAAGAATTTTTACTGAAATTCCATTACACTCAAGGTAAGTAATCATTGTAATGTAACGTTTCCAATATTAATTTTTTCACAATTTTTTCATCGACGTCATTTTGAGAAGCTTGAAATCTAGGTAGCATAGTTTCAGTAGATATACAAAAGACAACAGGATTTTTACTTCATACATCAGCATGTGTCATTCACCTACCAGCTGCATGTACTGTGATGCAACTGAAATCTTCTAATAACAGAGCTCATCCAGCAACGCGTGTTGTTCAATCTTGTTCAGCCATAGCTTTTTGAAAAGTGGCATAATCTGTAATGATTTTAAAATAAATACCTAATAATAAATCTGAACCTTCTTTAATACTTCTATAACAAACAACAAAGGCTTCAAACTCAGAACTTGAGTGTTTCTCTCAGCGTCTCTAGTTTTCTTGTTCAGGAAGTAAAGAGAATGAAATTTATTATTACCAAACAATTTTCGTAATAATATTGCATCATAATCATCTGTACTAACATCAGTGTAAACTTCTTTCTCATACTGCAGATAGTTAATGCAGATTTCTGTGATAGTAATGTTTTACCATTGTTCTTAACCAAATATAAATTTACTAGCTTTTTCCGAAAGGTCGCTTAGAGGTTTCACAAAAAGTGAATAACCAGGTGTGAATTTACTAAAGTAATCTACATACCCCGATATTCGATTCCCGGGAAAGGTGGTTGTATATTTTTCATATTTCCTGCTTCCAAAAATATCCTAATGTCTCTACGGTGGCGACCGAACTAAAAGGGTGTTGGATGAAGATTCTCCTCACCCAGGATTTGGCGATTGGGTCCCCTAAAAATCCCAGTCGCCCTTTAAAAGGTGGAGTATATAAGGTATTTCTCCCGTATTTCTAGCGAGTCATCTTGGTGTAGTGGTTCTGCATGCTGAACCGGTCAGAGGCCCGTGGTTTGATTCCCGGCGAAGGCGGTTGAATATTTTTCATCTTTTCTGCTTCCAAAAAAATCCTAATATCCTGTTTATATAAAATTTCTAAATTGTAGAAGGTGAACTTTTGAAATAAATGGCAGCTTAGGTTCGGTCCCTCTTGGAATAAACGGTAGTAGGTAGCCCCACATCATGGACAATCAACCGATATGCCTAAATGGTGGTATGGTTGTCTATGTTGTGGTTCTTTGCCCTACTAATCTGCTATGAGCGAGAGCATGAAAAACTATTGCACAAATCCTGTAGTACGACGTTAAGATTTCAATCCTTTGTGTTTTTAATATTTTTCACAGCTAATTTTGAATGAAAGTTTACCGTCACAGACTAAAAATTTTATTTCCCTTTGGTTTCATTATTTTCGGTATATATATATATATATATGTATTCAGCAGCTAATTTTACAGATTTCGTTTCTAGTGTATTATCAATTATAATATTTTCTCAAATCTAGTTATATTCCAAGATAAATGAAGATTGCCATTTTATAGAAAAACTCATTAAGCGAACTGAAGATACAAATCTACTATATTTTGTGATGCAGCTCCGTTTCGGAGGCTTCACAAAATTTTAAAATATCCTCATAAGTAAAGACATTGGCCATCATATTCTTGATAAAGAATTGTTGAAAAAAAGTGTTTTCGGCGATGAAAACCTTTAACATCTTCCTTCAGATTATCTACAGAATATTAGCAGCGTATTTTACTTTATGTATTTCGATACAAATGGATTCATATATAGTTTTATTTTAGCTCAAAGGGCTTTAGCTCAGAAGGGCTCAGAAGGGTCATTTTTCGTTCAATGACTTAAATATGATGTATCCCGTTTCAAATTATTGCCACCAAATATTATCGTTCTGTATTATATTTAAAGAAATTAAATAATGAAACATTTGCGTTAATGTATGTATGTTTCTCATTTTGTGAAAAAAACCACGGTACCTATAGTCATCAAATTTCGAATAATATTTTCCTCCACCCGAACAAGAGCACATGGAAGAAACCCGAATTTTGAAGTTTGTATTTATTTTATTGTGTATTTAATTTTTTTTTTTTATTTTTTTGTAAAACTTTTTTAACTGTTAAACGATTTTGTGATTAAGAGTCTTGGCAATTTCAATGCGAGCCGTGGTAACACTGTAAGAAGTAAAACATTTTTTTCTCCGCGGGTAACTGTCTATCGGAAATTCTAATGATATTCTGTTTTTAAATATTTCAAGTTCAAAGTAGTGTTAGCACAAATGCTCTCTAAACTTGTCTGTAAATGAAACAAACGCTCGTTTGGGTGTAAAATAAACTCTGAAAGCTTTCAGGGTTATTTATTTATTTATTTAATTTTTTTGTGAAACATTGACATTTCATGATTGGAAGGTATTTCTTTTAAACAATTACAGCATGTTTATTAGTTTAACAGTACGTCCTTCAGAAATTTAGAAATGTAGAAAATCTTATATTCAAAATTCCAAACGGTGGAGTTTTTTTTTATATTATTTTGCGAGGTAAATTAAATCAACTTGGCAACATCTGTACTTACTAAATAAAGAAAAGATTTAATTATTCAAAACGTCGCTGTGCATTTTTAATAGCTCATTTGAGAACGAAGCCTACAACATATATTTTCCTTAAGTAGCAATACATTTTGCTTTGCCGAAAGATTAAAAACCAATAAAAATCGGGGAACATTGCTTTTAAAGTGTTAATACATAAATATTTGCATTATACTTTCCAGAGATATTAAGTAATTGCCGTCACTTCAGTAAGCTTTAATTTTGCTTTTATTACTGTCTGCAGTCTCTTCAATAGTGTTAACACAACTTTATTGAGTAATACGGATTGAAAATTGTTATGATAACCATTTTTGACCTTCTGTTGAAATTAAAATTACTTATGTAGACTAAGATTGACAATGCAACTAACAAATGCTGTCTCTCTAAATCATATGTAATTACCTTTATTATGTGAGCCGTACTGTTGTCAGGGTCCACAGTAACAGACAACTCGAAAAGGATATCGTAAATTAGGCCCACTCGACGGAGGTTAATAACAGTATCAATCCAGTCAAATTTTGCCGGCGTCCACTCTCTTCCTTTTATCGCAGGCCAACCCAGAAGATATCTCAATACCAATGCAATTGTATTCACATCCTCTTTCTCGAGGCTACCTGCCGGCAGAAAACTCTAAGTGAGAACAGAAAAAAAAAAAAAAATTACTAGTTGCATGTGCTTATTCTTTATTTAAGAATACATCCTTTTCTTCTTTCTTCCCTCTTTTCTGCAGTATCTAAATATTTATCCATTTTATACTGAGCTAATTAGTCATGAAGCGATCAAGTGTTTGTGATTGTAAATCCAAATGAATAGTATCTGCGCGAAGTCCAGTAGCAGATACTTTTGTTCTCGAAGTATTTGGAATATTGTTCCATCAGCAGAAAACTGAAATAACGGACCTTTTTCTGTTAAGGGGGCTCATACACCTTAAACCCCTTATGATCTTCGAATATGTGACTGTTGCAAGAATTGGGATAACTTATTTATTTTAAAATCAATTACTTCCAACTTTTTATGACTCACTACATAATATAGCTGCTTTCTGAAATCGAAATCAGAAAGTTTGGGTTGCCACAAAGATTTTTATAATTTAATCCGCTTTGTGACAAAAAGTTTCGTCATGTTTCCACCTTGCGCGCACAGTTTAAAATTATCTGTTGCATTATTTAATTCCATAGTTTATATATAGCTTCTATAACATTTGGAAACTACTGTAAACCAAAAAAACTTAGAATTTCATGTTAAATTTTTATTTTATTTGGAGTTGAGTTTATAAAATGCATTTTATTAAAAATATCTGTAATATTTTCGTGCATAAAATTTTTTAATATTAAAATATTCATCATATGTTTTGGTTCAGTTAGAAAATAGTGCCCATATAAAGAATTCCATCCAATTTCAAGTATGTACCATTAGCCATTTTTAAAATATCATGCGCGCAAGGTGGAAAAATGACGAAATATTTTGTCACAAAGCTGTTTAAATTACAAAAATATATGTGGCAACACAAACTTTCTGGTTACTAGTTTTCAAAGCAGCTATATTATATAGTCAGCTGTAAAAAGTTGGAGATTTTTACTTTTAAAATAAAGAAAATATCGCAATTCTTGCAACAGTCACATAATTCGAAGCTCATAAGGGGTTTAAGGTGTATGAGTCCCCTTAAACGAAATGCTACTTTGCTGCAAACCTAAACGTCCGCTAGAAATCTAACTAGATGGCAGCAATCCTGGCAAAAATAATGCTTTGTGACCGAAAAATGAACTAGTTATAAAAGAAGGGTACCATATAGCAGAATATATATAATGTTTAACATGCGCAATGTCAGAACTGTGCAAGATGCCAAAATTGTTCACCCTGAATTTTTTAACGAAACAGATCGCTGTGTACAGGGGAAAAATGTGTTGTTTTACGCTAAGCTAGGGCATTATTATATTATTGCACAACTATTAGTTTCAAAGCAGTTAATGACTCGATATAAACATATTATCACATATGCTGCTTTAATGCACATTTGGCGACTAAAGCCGCATTAAACTCTCAATATAATAAATCTCTGGTTAAAAATTGTCACGTAAATGAAATGAACTGGGATATTTTTCAGGAATGGATTTTCACTTTCTGCTTAGTGATAGAATTTTTCGTTGGATTTGAAGTTGACAAAATATTAATAGAATTTTGAAAAGATAGAAAGAATTGTATTCCCTTGCTATGATTTTAATAATTTTAGATGCCTAGATCACGTTATCTAAATCACATGGCTTTGCACAATTCTTACTCAAAGCAAAGACCTTTATTAAGGTGAATGAAGAGTATTTTCTCTAAATCTCAAGTCGAAAGTGAGTTTCTCTTATTTTGGTTAAACATTAATGGTGCAAAATTTTACCAACCTGGAATAAAGCCGCAGAACATCATGGCCCTAGATAACGGTTTTACATAACACCCGGTATTTGCTTTGTTATCCGTTCTGCTTTAAAGATCTACACTGTTTTGAAGAGTACATGATGAGTCTACTAAACCTGTTTAAAAGTAAATGATACGTCTGCTGAGTTTTGAAGAGTAAATGAACCTAAACTACTAAAAACGGTTAGCTGGAGTGACGCCATCTAATCGTTTCAGCAAGAATTGATAACATCTAACTGTTTAATAAGGGTGGAAAGGCAGGCGATTATTTTTTTGTACAAAAAATAATGTATTATTTTTTTGTACAAAAAATAATACAAATTCCTTGATTAAAATCTATGTCTTCCATTCAAAGCGAGAGCACAAGAGCGGAGAGGTGATGATAAGTTGAGTGAGGTGAGCTCAATGTTCTTATATAAGCGCCTCAATATTCGCCATATAAGGTATTTCTCCTACCTTCTTAGCGCGCCTTTGTGTTGTGGTGATCTGCACACTGGGCGTGTATTCCAGAGGTCTGGCGTTCAATTCCCAGAGTTGCTCATTTTTCATTACTCCTGCTTCGAAATAATCTAATGTCTCTACAACTCCATGGAGGTGGTTTTCCTAAGCTGTATGTAGTTAGTGAACTTTCTGTTGTTTTGTAGGTCAAGTAAACTATTAATTTGTATGAATTACACAAAAACAAACAGAAACACGTCTTGACAGATGATTTTAATGTATCCAGCTAATGTAATTTCACAGGTCCAGCTAATAAAAAAGAATAATTGGAAACAATCTACGTTTATTGCTTTTAAATCTTTTAGTTTAAAAATTAATAACAATAAATTTAAATCAAAACTTAAATAGCTTACGCTTTTTTAAATGGCAAATCACTGACGCCTGGAATATAAAGGTATTTTAATTTAAGTAATGGCAACACATATCTTTCTAATTTCGAAGTTTACTTAATAAATTCCAAAGACACCTGGAAGTTTACTTCTTTTATATCGCCGAGATTTTGATTCAGTTTGGCGTATAAATATCTTAAGTTTTAGACATTCAATATGTACCGTAAATATTAAGGGATTTTGTTAGGCACGATGCAAATGTCGAAACAATTAAGAATGTGTGTACAAGCATCAGTATTATTACTACAGAAAATTTTAATTAATTGTCATTAAATTTAAATGTATTAATTCGTTTAGTTATCATTCGGATAATAAAACAATATCGTTTTTCCTTAGTCCCATTTCTATAATTATAACAGTAATCATACCACTGCAGTAAATGTACTGCTTATATTATATATGATTTAGTATAATTTTATTAAAACGCATATAATTAATTATTATTAACAGATTCTAAATTTTGTCAAACTGAAATTTTTCAAGAGGAATAAAATTTCTAATTAAATTTTTCTTGGATGATTATTAAAATTAGTATTGCGAATACTTAAGTATAATTTAATACATTGCTACCTTTGTGAGTATTTTACGTAACTTATACACAAGAACGTTTAAAGATACTGAGATTTTGTAGAAAAAAATGTGGAGCGCCGAACCAGCGAAAGACTTTTAAAGTTTCTAGTTCATAATTTTTCTGATAAATATTAAAAAATATATATATACTTTAATAACATTTACTAAAGTAATTACAAATTACTTGAAACTGTAAGTGAGATATATGCAGTTTTCTCTATGTGAAACTGACTTATAATAAACTCTGAACCGATAATTATAGAAAAACCAAAATTTGCTTATGATTGCTTGTGAATGAATGTAACTATATACATACATACCCAGCCGATTGAAAATTTTAAAAAAGCCTTAAGTACAGCTTGTAAAAATTAGAATGTTTTCTTTTAGGGATTGGAATTCCAATATCACGCGATAACTCAGTAACATCATGCTAAACAACCAGAGGATTTATAACGAAACTATTCAAATATTTGGGAAAGGAATTTGCCGGTGAATAAGTTCAACGTTACGAAAAATCTTGCGACAAAAATTAATATTACTCTGCTATAGCCGTAGTATGATATTCCAAATTCGTACGCATTCTCAAATGCTACACATAATATCAGCAAATGGACCCTTGTTCAATATGAGGCTGTTTTTATCAAGTTTATTAAGATTTTTGGCTGTAATAATCTTATTGCACAGCCTCTTTTATATAACATAATGTGCATAACTCACAATAGGTCAAGATCTTGACAAATCCATTTAACTACGTAAGCAATTTTTAACCATATAACTACTCAGAATCTACTGATAATTTCTAATATTATCTTGTTGTACATGAAAACTACATGGTAACGAAATACGCGGAAGAAAAGTACTGAAGATATATTACAATGATTCTGCTGTTATCAGTCAATGAGTTTAAATTCGGCTCACTTTACCATTGTGTTTAGCAATTATCATAGGATGCACATAATGGTTAGGAGATATACATAATGGTATAGATATTTTGAGGAGATTTAGAGATTTGGCTTCATGAAAATAAGAAGCTAGACAAATCTTTATTCTGGTTGTAAAAGACGTATTTATGAAATATTAATAAAATCCCTGGAAAACAAGCTCTCGCATATATGTGATATTGTTTGCTTTTTTCTGATATTAAAGTTGATGTTCAGCTAAGCAAACATAAAAGCATTTCTGTTAATTTAAAATTATTCCCCCCCCCATAACTAAGACGGGAAAAAATTAAAATTCGAAATGAGGCTTACTTTCATTCATGCATGCAGAATATACTCCTTTTAATACACGGATGAAATTAGGTTCTTTTTTTGTCAGTTCCTTTTCTAAGAGATCTAGAAATAAAAAGAACAAATATTTAAGAAAGAAAATCTTATTTGTATTCTCTTTTCTTAAAACAAGTAATTTATCTTGAAATGATTGGCTTCAGTTACCAGCTTGTAATACAGCAATTTATTTAAGTAACTTTTCAAACTTCTTATTTTGGAAAAAAAAAGCATTACACCTTATTTAAACGCATGCAAAACAATTATTAAATTCAGAGAAAGGTGGCATTTTTACAAACCTTTTAAATTCAAGAAAAGAGTTTGTTAACCAACGTTTAACAAAAATGAATCCTCTTAAAGGATCGTATTAAATTTTGGCCATTGTTTAAAGAAAGAATTTAGTTCATACTTTAGTAATTTAATCGCTAAACAATACTTCAGTATACACAATAATGTAAGTCCTGCAATTCAAGTTCATTTGGCATTGGGGTTCAAAGTACATGTATAATTTAGTTTTATGTAGATATGTTGTAATTTAATGCTACACAATTTCGACACAAAATTAATTAGTCGATTTTATATGCGGATCAGAATTTATGCACCGTATTTTAGAATAAATATTTATTACATAGAGAATTTTGGCAGAATGTTTTGAAAAATGGTCATATTACTTAAGAGTCTCAATATTTCTGTTGAAATTTCATGTATATATAGTTTAAATATTTAAAATGTTTGCCAAAACATCAATAATTTAAATTAGTTGTATTGAGCCTTTTAATTTCTATAAGTATTCATAACCTTCTTGTTTTTAAACAAACCCGTCTTTGCCGATACGACGTAAATATGAGTGAGACATGTCCGCTATTAAGCGGAGCAAAAGCTTTCTGAACTGTATCCAGTTTGAGACAAGTGATTTACGCTTTTCGAAACTATCTGGCATAAGCCCTAAAATGTGCAAAACGATTTATCAAAATAATTTTGAATTTCAGAAAGAGAGAGCAATACAAAATTCTTTCGAAAACAATAGATAATTACTTCTATATTTTCAATAATTTTAAGACTATGCGGTACCTTGATTTTATGACTTAAATTGAAATTCGTTGAAGTATCGGCAGAAAAATTTATTTACAAATGTCTAGCTTGAACTTTCTCATATAAACAAAACAAAAAATTGATAAGAATATATAACTGGAATATCTTATTTAAATCAGCAAACTAATAAAATCTGTCCTGATCAGATAGTTAAAAACAAAACTTGTAAACATCTAATGAATTCCTTCACACCTATTTTATTTATATTAAGTTAATTTATTTCTTACCCAGCATGTTATTCATAAAACTATTCAAATATCATTGTATAAAAAGATATGACATGAAAAATGTGACGAATCCTCAGTTTTAGGATTTCAGGGTAATCCTTATACTTTACGTACAAATTTGTTTGCAGCTATAGAGAAATTCGTCTTTAAAACATAAAAACCTTTCGACTTTGACTAAGCAATGATTATCGCAATTTTAAAATTAGTTTTGGACCTTTTTTTCCTTTTAAAAAATCAGAGATATACAGGGTGGTTATAATTAAAGTTCCACTGGTCAGTCCAAATAATCATGAAGGGAAAACTTCTGGACCAAATGTTAAAACTGGTAATCGTGTAAAGAAGGTCAGGTGAGTTTATTTCCCGCAAAAACAGAAAAGTTTAAAAATTCACTACCGGGGGGGGGGGGTAAATAACGCTGTATTCAATATTGTTAAACGAAATAAGGATCATTATCTAACATTATCTAACCTTTTGTTACACGGGTTTAACATGTTGTATATCCTTAAGAAACATTGACCTAAACAAAATTACTATTTAAAGACGTCAAAATTCGAGTGCGCCATCCATGTAACGCCGAAAATCGTCAATGAAAAACCACAAATTAGAGATTAGAAAGTGTGAGACAGAAAATCACTCGCAAAAGTGTGCGCATTTCGGAAACCGTTTTCTCACAGATTGTTAATTCATAATTTTTGAAGCCTGAATTAGGCCCTAAGACATGAAGATATCGATTTAATACGTTTTTAATCGTTTCTAAAACGAAACTGTTTGTGGACTGAGACAAAACCGCAATGGCTTGTAATTGGTTTACGGCAGAAAGAAGCAAATAATCTAAACAGTTTGTAGTAATTGAAAGTTGCGATACACCGACATTTCCGTGACATTCCTCCTGATATGCTAAAAGCTGCTGTTGAGAATGCAGTAATACAATTTAACTTTCTTTCAGAAAACAGAGGACGCCATATTGAATAGGCTTTATAACCCATTTCAGAAACGATTAAGCGCAATTTAAACCGATGCCTTCATGTCTTATTTCGTTTAACAATATTGCATACAGCGCCATTTTTCCCTGCGGGTGCGTTTTGAACTTTTTTTTTTTCCGTAGAAAATAAATTCTTATAATCTCCTTTACATGATTACCAAGTTTGATTCCAGTAGTTTTCATGTTATGAGCATTTTAAAGTGGAAATTTAATTATAACCAGTCTGTACATTTCTTTATTATCTTTAAATACATTCATATTCGCTGCCCCCTCCCAAGGACTGCACGTCCCGGGCAGTAGAACGCTTGGTCAGAAGCATAATTCGATACAAACAAAAGGTTCTAAAACCAACAAATAACATAACATAACATAATTCATAACTAAAGAAGCAAATATTTACACTATATACAGGTTATATAAACAAATTAAACACATAACAATTTCAAATTATACAAATTAAAGTCCTAAATGAATTTCAGTCGCAGTCTTTTCATTATTTATACCCGGGTCAAATACGTTTCCACTGCAGTTCTCAGATGCATTTCTGTTTTGCATATCACAGTCTGAAGATATAGTCCTTTCAGACTTTTTCATCCACAGGGAGGTGTAAAACAGTTCGTTCACCACTCTGTAGTTCATTCGCAGCATGCGTACAGTTCATCTCGTTATTTTCAGCAATTGGTACATGCTCATTTTTCTCTATTTCCTGAAAACCAGTTCCGATGTTTGCATTAGAGTCGCTAACGGAAACCCGATTCTTCACAAACACAAGTATTCTCGCTTAAAATCAAGTTCGTGTCTGTACAACTTGTATTAGGAGACACATACTCAGTTTGTGAAATGGGAGAATCTTCTTGCAATATTGGTGCACTCTGCGTAAGCTGTGCGTCAGCTTCTTTCCATCTCTGCATCACATGCATTTTCAGATAGTTCAGTTCTTGCTAACTGCGACTTCGTAATTTCACTATCAGTTTCGACGAACTTAACAGTCGCATTTCCACTTTCTTCCACTTCAGGCACTTGAGAATCAAAAGCTGCTTTCACGTCTTTTATTTCTTCATGTTTTCGTTCTGTTTTTTTTTTTTTTAATCCCGTTAGATGTTTCATCCTTCATTTCTTGATCTTTCTCAGACAGTTCATTAGCTACTTCCTTCATTTCTTCACCCTTTGATTCTTCAGAAGCCACTTCTCTCATATCCACATCGTCTTTTATGGCTCCAGTTTCTTCTGTAAGCTCCACTTTCGCCTGTTGGAGATGCTCTCACATCTTTTCTTGGCCGCCATTTATCTCTTCTCGTCGGCCTTTCTTCTCTTCTAGTCCGGCTTTGTTCTCAGCTGTCATCTTTTTATATCCAGCTTTTATCTCTTTACATCCAGCTTTTATCTCATCATATCCGGCTTTTATCTCAGCACATCCGGCTTTTATCTCAGCATATCCGGCTTTTATCTCGGCTAAGAAGTCCATCAAAGTCGTCGTTTCTTCCGCCATGGCTTTCCTCTGCAGGCGGGTCACTGGCATTCACTCGCATATCCCACTTCTGACACCAGTTGTTGCGTTTTTTCCTTATTCTTCTGACACCAGATGTTGCGTTATTTTCTTCCTTCACATTCGTACGGGGTTTGTAGATTTGAAGTGAATAACGACGACACTTGATGAAGTATCGAAACACACTTTATTTAGCCAATATTAATATGGATAGCTCCAATAACACAGTTTACAGTCGTCGAAGATCTACTACAAACACGCTGGAACAATCAGCGACACAACTTTCACACTGTCAGGCAATAACGGTGGAGACAGCTTCCCTCAAAGCACCCGACTCTGCTTTCCGGAGTACAGCTCCCGACTCTGCTTGGTCGCTCTCGTAACTTTACGTACTCTCGAGACTCTCCACGCTACAACTCGCGATGCACTCGACGACACACGAGCACAGCTCCCGATTCTTCGGTTCAGTCGTTCCCGGAGCTCAGCACGCTCTCTCGACGGTGCACTAAGTGCGATATAGTACGAGACTCTTGCGGTGCAATCGACGACCCAGTCGGCACTCGCTGCCCGACTATCAACTCGATCCACTCCGCAAGGACTGACTCGCTAGACGAGACACACACTCAATGAGAGACACACACTGGCTGACTGCAGACCAGCAGGGTTTATATAGCTTTCAGCTTGTGTTCGAGAACCTTCTGGGCTAAACCGGTAAGAATTCGTTCCAGAAGGTTCTCCATCCGTCCATGGCTTATCGTCAATTTTGTCTCCAAATGTCGTCAAATGGGCGATTTCTCGCCAAATGTGGCAACCCTGCCTTCCCTTGCCACTTTATGGCAACCCTAAAACTGCTTTGCGAGAAAGCTATATGACCGCGCCTGTACGTTTCGTAACAATATATTGCTAATAACGATGGAAATATATTATGATTTTGTATTTTTTAAAAACAAAAAGCATTCAGTTGTTGGTATATAAAATATCAAATCTTTAAAGCAAACACTAGTATAGAGACTTACACTAGCAATAAAAAATATCATAACCCAGGAAATCTTTAACTATATTTTTGGCGTACCAGGTGCAAATATCATTTGCGAAAATTGCTCAGATAATTTCGAATGCAAATTTCTATCTATTGCCTTTTATATCTAGCAGAGTTTAATGTAGAAGCATAAGCTTCAAACACATATTTGTAAAATGGTAAGTCACTTTCTATAACTAAATTAAACTGTTATACAACCTATAATATGAATAATCCTAATTTTTTTCCCTGTGGAAAATGGTA